TCAGGACCCATCCCAGCTGCAAGTGCTCACAACCAGACACCCTGAAGCAGTTGTGTCCCATCTGCCCACTCCAGAGATTCTAAGATACTATGAGAGCAGAGGGGCGTCACTTGCTATGGGCTGTCACTTGTCATGTGACACAGGCAGCTGTACAGCTAAAATACAACCAGTGTGCACACTGAAGGTACAAAGTACTGGATTCCCTGTGTGCAAGGAGGTGAACCGTGCTGTTCATGCACACAGCAGATCCCTCCCTGTTTCGAGGAGCAGGAAAAGGTCATGGCAAGTAAGGAACCATTCATGATGACTGGTCTGAGCCATAATACACTGATCTACGTAACAGATATTTGTAAATGTCTTCACAGATTTATAATACTGATAAATAACATTTCTCAAAAATTCGTCTAAATGGTGGGAGAATTCCACATTATACAGATCTGTCTGAAATTAAGACAGATTCCTCTTTTTCAAATCTGGGGACTCTCTACCTTATCTCATGTCTGAGTTGAGAGCTTGTTGCACACTTTATTCTTCTTTATATTATTTATATTTTTCTCCTCTAAAAATTATTTTAACTTTAGAAAGCTTTTGTAGCATAGTGTATATGCAAAAGAGCCAAAAGCTTCCAGCTGATGTTTGAAGGTGGGAATGTGTCACAGGCCAGGTCCACCCAGCTTCCTTCCTTCACTCATCAGGCATTCCTCATATGCTGAGCTGTGACCAGATCAAAGAGAGGGCAGTTCTGTTTCATTTTATTTCATCTCAAGGCAGCTCTGCCAGTCCTTGAGTGCAGCTAGGTATTTTGTGACACAGCAAATCCTTCTTTCAGAATATGTGGTATTTGCAGTGGTAAAATTTTCCACCTTCCTTTACACAGGTAGTCACCCCTTCGTCAACAGATTTCATAATCCTAAATTACTGGAGGTTCAAATTGATAAGATAGGAAAAATAGCAACACAGGGCTAAAAAGTGTTTCATTTTAAGAATCTTTTTTTTTGTTATTACCTCCAACATGTAGGATTTCTAATGTATTTTTGGAAGCACCCGGAGCCAAAACTTCCAAACTTCTCATCTGCAGAACTTTGAAAAGCTATTGTCTTCAGTGAGTTCCTGATCAAAAAGGTCCAATCCAGTCTATACCTGTCACAATTAAGCTGGATCTCAAAATATCTATCTATTGCTGAAACATGTTTCAAAGATTAGCAGTGACACAGACTGCACCTTTGTCTGCAAGCCTGATTTTACATAAAAAGCTCTCAACCAGATTGAATGAAGAGTTGGTGCTTGTAGTTAAGAAGCAACTCTTAAGTTTGACCTCTTTAAATTAAAGATTATCTTTAATTACCTGCAATGCAAGGTAAAACTGGCATTACTTATTATTTTCGTTTACAGTACTTGCTGATTGAGGTCCTTAAATGTTTCTCTCATCTGCTCATCCCAAGAGAACACTAGAGGATAAACATTAGTTGGTAACGAGGTCCTGACTCAGATGTTGTGAAGAAAGAGGGTTGTAGTTATGTATCTGTCTACATTGGGCCATGGTGGCCTCCATTTCCTAGATACTCTCAGGGCTGCTGCTCTGATAAATCCCTCCCACAATGAACCTCTTTACTTGGAGTATAATCTTAAGTATCTGAGAGCCATACAAAGAGTATTTTAGTGCTGGTCAGATATGTAGATCCAGGCAAAATGTTAAGTGTAGAAATGCCCTTCTGTGCTTCCCTTTCCTCATCGCTCTGGAGCGGCCTTCAGGCTTGGAATCAAGACCCTTAAGATTTGGAGAATCCTCTTGCCTTTCCTGCCTGCCTCTCATCATTTCTACTGTCTCCTTAAGATCTCAAGTCAGACAGACAGCTCTTTGTCAAACTTTTCAGTTGTTGCCTATTATGTCACCTGGCACCTCGAGAAATGTCAGCCTCTAGCTAACTGGATTGACTGGTTTGTGCAGTTTGTTCAACTTTATGGGTCAAAGGGGATTCCACTTGAACTGGAGATCAGCCATAGTTGATGACTTCCTACACTTACCACTACACACTGCACTGGTTATCTGCTTACTCACAGAGGCTTGATACAAGTTAAATTGTGTGGAGGCAACAAACAAGTTTTCTAACAACTCCTGTAAGAGCTATGTCATTTTAAAGACTGAGAAAAATCGCACAAACACGTATTAGGTACTCTCTAATTTAACAAAGTCGTAATTAGAAAATGAAATGCCTCCATAAAAAAAATAAGAAGAGTCACAGATTTTTAGGAAATTCAATTATGCAAAAATGGGAGTGCTTTGATTTCAGTCCATCTACATGGAAAAAAATAGCATACCAGCAGCAGCACGTGTGATTATCTCTAAATGCACTTTTTTAAAAAAAAATATGTATTAAAATGATCTTTTAAGCTATAGTCTTATTCAAAACTCATGAAACACCCATGATACTCTAATCAATTCACCTGAATATGATAAAATGAAAAGCAAACTCTTCTGGGTACTTATACGTATGAATTTCAGGGTGGGGTTTTTTTGTGTATGTGTGTGTGTTGGAGGGTTTTTTAAGTGACCAAATAACAATATAGAATACAACCAGTAAGGTGAAAAAAAAAGCCCAATTTTTCAAAATAAAGCCGTATTTCAGCTAATGTTCATGTCAGCACTGAGCAATGAGCAATATTCAGATATAATTCTACAATTAGATTTTCTTGTTGATGTTTCAGTCCCATCTCTAACAAAGAACAAACACAGGAGGAAATGTAACTGTTGCTTACATGTATGCCTAATTGAAGTCTGGCAAGCCTTTCTGAAAGAAACACAAACACTTGAAGACAATCATTCTCCCCAAACTAGAACTCAACCATTTAAATCTCCTCTCAGTCTTTTCATTCCTCATTACTTTTAATTTACAGACACTGCCAGGTGCCAGCTGGGGCACAATACAGAAACAGTAAACTGCAGAAAATGGCTGTGTATGATGTTTCGAGCATAACCAGCAGCTGAATCTGTTAGGAAAAAACCAACAACAAATACTACAGAAAAGCAGAAGTTCATCTGAGCTTTTCACCCCAGATTTAATGTATCTGGTTAGTTCAGATAATAATCCAAGCTACTCTTGTAGGTGTAGTGCATTCTTGATGGAAATCTTGGAACATTTTGCTGTGCACCTGTTTTTCACCCCTATAAGTAATTTATTGCTTTATGTCAGCCGGTAACACTGTGTCATTTTGCTGTAAATTAATGGTTTGAGTTTTCAGCAAAAGTTAAAGATGGGCTTGTGAATTATTTGTCCATTATTCTCTTTTTTTTTTTTCTGAATTGAGGATCTAGAAAGAATAGGTTGAATTGCTTTTTAAGTGAATTTGGGCAAAGATTTAGGCTCTAGGAATGCCCTTTAAGTATCAGACCCATGTTTTAGCTTGTCAGAGCATTATATACCATGTTATGGTATTACAGGGGTTGTCCTTCAAATTCGGCTAATATAGTGAAAAGATCTGTTTCTGTTCTGTTAATAAACATTATTAAGAATAAAATCAAGCTTTGTTATTTAGTCTTCTAAAAACTTAGAAATACTCCGTTATTTAACTGTTCTTTTTAAGCAAGTCTCATAAAATGTGACTAGTTATCACTACCTAACACAACTGCTCTAAAATCAGGAGCAGAGGTAGGAAGGTCCTTTCCAGCAGAAGTCTAATATTCAACTGCTACCTGATGCCTTGAGTGCTACATGTCTGCTCAGCCCAAACCAAGGACTGCAGACAAATAATCACATTAGTGCAGTCACCCCCGGATTTTGATTAGCTAGTTCTCATCTAATTCCAATTTCCTTTGAAAAAACTATTTTAATTTTTAAGAGAAAGTTTTTAATTACTAGTGATGAAGCTGGAAGATGCCTTTTTTTAGTGAAACTATGTGTTAGTCAACCTTCTGAATAATAAGATTTCAAGTTTAAAGAAATCTTTAAAAAGAAGAAAGAGTACTTTGATGCTTGTACTTCTCTTTGTAAGCAAAGCGTCCAAGAGTCTGTTGGTAGCCTGACTGTGCATCAGAGAGGAAGTAGGGAAGACTAAAATGTGGAATGACATGGACAACGTGTAAGGAAGAATGGAAGGCCAATTTTTTTTAAGTGCTTTTTGGAAAAAAAAAATCAATATTGGTTGTGCTGAAATCTTCAGGTCAGGTCTAATAAAAAATGCTAAGTTTAGGGGAACAGGAAGAACACACACTGTGAGAAGAAACTCAAAATATATGTGCATTCTATAGAAGTTTCTGGTATCTGCAGACTTTGAACAGGTTTCACTATTAAGTCAATCTTTTGCTAAAAATTCTATCTGTATTCTTGACACTGGCTTGATTTTAGTGGTGTGGATTTTTTAAATGAGAAGGGAGGTGGGATTCTAAATGATACTTGACAAGTGAAAAATATTCAACTTAAATTGCCTTGATTACAAGTAAAATTTTAATTATGTCAATGCAGGTGATTAATAAAACAATCTACAATTCTAGATATTAGTCCATGTAACTGGAGTCCTAAGATCATGAGTTTTTACAGCTCAGAGTCATCAATCCTCTAATAGTTTCTCAAATGGCCTGGGCCCAGGAATGTATTGTCTTTCCCCTGCTATTGTAACTGCAAACACTGTGGGCATGAGATAGAGTGTCCCATGTAGGGTCAGAAATCAGAGGGCATTCCCACTATAGCTATGCAGTGTTGTGAAGTCAGATCTGGACAAAATGTTAACATTGAAATGTTCTAAACTATTAATTTAGGCAATGATGTTTCTTCCTGATGGCAGTCACTCAAATTGATTGTTTAAACTGCATGTAATTGTATTAAGAAGGATAACACAAACAATGCTAAAGGGCTCTGTTAAAAAGGGAGGAAAAATTTATGCACAAATGATTTAGCAACTAAACTACTTATTGAAGACATATTAAGCATATTTTTCTTAATTTATATAAATGGATTTTCAATCATTTGGTAATTTTAATGCTGGCTTTGTTTAATATTTTACAGGAAGCTTCAAAAGATGGTGCATGACATCAAGAAAAATGAAAGTGGGATAATAAACAAGTTCAAAAAGTAAGTTTGAAATGTCAATCCCTCATTTTATCAATTTGGGGAAGTTCATGTTGTAACACAGTGTATAGTACTTTGGTGTTGGGACCATGTTATTCTAGAGGGATGTACTTCAGTGTATGTGAAAAGCTTCAGTTCAGACATGCAGAATTGTCATAAGTTGAAGAACTGGACTCCAATGGCAGGTTTTGTTTGTAGCCCTGAAAAAAAATATTTGCGTGAAATGGACTTTCCTTGAGTGTTCCTTGGGAGTGGTCATCGCTTGTTGTTTGGATGTGTGCCTTTCTCCTTAGGCAACTGTTTAGGCTACCTGCTGCAATTAAGTTTAATTTGAGCTCTACCTTGAACCAACTGGTCAGATATCATAGTTAAAATTCCCATAAAAATGTTAAATCCTCCTGTGTTTCATTCCCATAAAACAAAATCCAGCATTACCTAACATCCTTATTCCAATAAGAAGTGCTGTACAGCATGGGTATTGATGTCACATGCATGAGAGTATCATAAAATATTCATGTGTATTTATACATCGAAAGAGATTCCAGTAATTCTGCATCCTCGTCAAATGAATACACTATTCACTGTTTCCAGTCAAACATCTATTTAAACCAATTAGCCATTTAGCACACTTTTTCCTAATGCAATAGCTCATTTGCATAGGACTTCCATTTGGATGTGATTTTCTCATTCAGATGGGTCATTGGCAACAAAAGTACTAAGTACTTCTATAAGTTAATTAGTACACAGTACTTGAAGTGTTTCCAGGATGACCATATTAAATTCTAGAAATACAGCTCTTGTACATAAGAGGCACATAGAAACATCGTTTAAAATTGTTCTTAAAGAGTGACCACAGTGGCTCAGTTAAAGAAAGACTTCTTGTATATAGAGCAGTCAGTAGGCAGTTGAGAGAAGCAATAGGGTTCTGCCTAGTTTGGCTGTACAAGAGCTCTGGAAAGCCAGGCTGGCTGAGCTATTGCCCCTGCTGCCAGCCCAGGCAGGGCTGATGTTTGTGGGGCAGCTGCTGCCCCTGGCAGAGGAGTGGGAGGCACTTCTAGAAGTAGCAGTGATCTTCTGGCTCTCCCGTTCCCCAGGCAGAAGGAGTAACCTTAGGCTGCAAGCCCTGCTTTGTGGTCTCATTTTCACAGCTGTGTTTCTGTCCACAGACCTTAAGCAGGCTCTGATGGTAAAACACCTGACAGATTCTTGAGATAATTTTTTCCTTTACTCATCCTTCTTCACTCTAACACTGCTGCAATTCACAGTAAATCACAGTCACTTGGTATAAGCACTTGTTATTTCCACATGAAGTGCAAAAGGAGAGTTTCCATTAAAATGACACTATTTCAGCTACTTGGGTCTTTATTTTAATTTGTGTGGTTTTGTTCTTAGCACAGTGTGTACGTAAATAGACCACTGTGTTCAGAGACCCATCTGCAAAAAAACTCATAGTTTCATCTAGGACCTGATCACAAGGAAGAGCTGGTAGGTGTCAAAAGGATTTTGGTGGGTTTTTGGAGGAGATGAGGGTTTGTTGTTGTAGTTGCTGCCTTTTAATAAAGGGTGGCTTCCTACTTCACAGTAGTAGTTTAAGTGTAATTAATAATGTTGCAGTGGGTCCAGTTCAAAAGCTTCAGGGAGGAAAGCAGATGACAGAAACAATAGAAGTATCTCAAGTTTATAATGTGAGGTTGCAAATTGTCTCCCATAGTTGCCTGAATGTGAATTTTGCTTTTAATCAGTATTGCTCTGACTGTGTGTCCTTCCTAGAGAGTAAGAGGGGAAGGAAAGACAAGGGAGAAGTAACAAGAATCAAATATAGTGGAAGCTGGGAAGGTTAGAGGTATCATCATTAAATGTCAGATACAAGATTGCTGATATAACACTGCAATTCTTTGATTCACTCAAGATGTAAAAAAACCCTATAAAAAAGCGCAGGCTCATAAGAACTCTTTTAATATATGACTGCAGCACAAAGCTCACGTCTCAACTCTTCCAGCTATAAGAATACAAATTGAGATATAAAAAGCATATAATAATCTTTCTGATGATACTGTGCTTCATCTGAGTCATATTAATCTTTTCTGCAGTTATGATCAGAAATTTAGTTTCTAAAAAATTGAAGAATTTCTTACATTTGCATATGACTTCAGAACTCAAGCCTTGAACCCAGCACATAACAAGCTGCAATAAAAGCATGAGTTGACAACGCTGATAAGGATATGTACAAGAGGTGCCAAGCTTTACAGAATTAGAACTGGCTGTATTGCTTTCAATGTGCCCTTTGGGGACTTTATGTTGAATTTTTTTTAAGACTTTTTCTAATAAACGTAGTTGTCCAGTTGACCATTACTCCATTTCAGTTACAGAATTATTTTATTAAGTGTTAGGGATCTAAACACAACTGAAGCCAGAATTTTATTTTAATTGGCTTTATGTAGCACAGATTTAGAATTTGTCTATATGCTGGAATAAAACCCATCAAATTCAAACCTATTATAAGTAGAAATAATTTTAGGGAATTCAAATAGCATACTTGCTTATCTGAAGCCTAAAGTTGTCACGCTGATGTATACTGTAAGCCTCTGCTACTCAAACTGAAAGAGCAATCAGAGATTCATGAAATACATTTGACTTATTACCAGTATTTGTTAAAACACTTATAAAATCTGGATTGGCTTTTGATTATCCATGTGTTCTTCAAGGTGTGTGGAAAGCAGCCTGAGCAGTGGTGGGAACAGGAAAGAAACCGGCAGGTTGTTTCTTCATTACTTAAAAGTTCCTGTGTGTTCCCCATCCTGTCTCAGAATTTTCTGGCACTAAAAATATTGGCCCCTGCAGGATAGCAGTCACCTGCTTGCCCCTAATCACTTGCAAAACTGTTTACAATACTGGAGCCCCAGCTGCTGTGCAGATCATGCTGTCAAAGAGGATTATGTACTCAGGTGTAGAAGCAATGGGTGTAGCCAACACAGACACTGTATAAACAACGAGAGCTGGGGGCTCTCATTTTGGTAGGTGCTGATCTACTGGAAGGTCAGTTTACTCACCTTGTAGCAGTATCACATCCTATCAAAACTTCCTTCGCAATGCCATCAGAAATCATGCACTTGTAGTTGTGTGTCTGACTGCACACAATCCAAATATGTTCGTTTCTTGAAATCACATTTGCTGTATGACCTAAAAAAAAAAAAAAAGAAGATGCTTTACTCAGTTATTTAGTTGGGTAATTCTTTACTTCAGATTTGTCTGGTCCATTTTTCTATACAATTTATAGCTCAGGCAGTAACTTCAGGCAGAAAAATGGTCATTGTGTTACTAAATGTTTCTTCAACCTGCATAGCTGCCACTAGAAAACATCTGTGATCCAACTCTTGGCAGAGCGAAAAGTGGTGTTTTATGAACGAAACAATGAGAGAAATGTACTAAAATCAAGCTGTACCACACTTAGAAAAGAAAACAGCAAAAATTATCATACCTAATTTTAACTGTTATTCTGAAGAAACATGAAAGTCACTGTGTAGCTGGATAGAATGTTTTGAGTGCTGGGATTTTATTAATGTAATAATATTTCATCAAAGTGAAGACAAATAAATCACAGCTAGACGCCATTTCACTGTCATAGCACATTGTAAAGAAAATATGTGAAAGAGTAGTAATAAGACTTTCCAAAAAAGCTTTCAGATTAATTTTATCTTATACAGTTGCCACATACTTCCAAATCTATAACAAACTATTCCACTAGGTCATGAAAACACAGTTCAGGAAAAGTTTATCTGTCAGCTAGATCACACCTTTTGGAACTCTGAAAATGTTTTTGGCAAAGTTTGATTAATCACAAGTGTGATGACCTAGTGTACTTAAAACTAATATGTACTATAAATATTCAACTCAGTAAAGATTATCAGTATAATTTTTGTAAATTTAAACGGTCTCTAAGAAGGGAGTGGACTTTGTACAGATTTAACAATAGAAAAAGTGAAGGACTTTTGAAAACAGAGTTTTCAGGCGCATCTTAAATGCTGGGGGTGTGAGCAGAAACACTAGTGGGGAAATGCACCTGTGGGAGAATTAAATTGAACACAGAAAGAACTACTACTACTACCTATGTTTGGTTACTTTTCTGGGTGTAGCCTGTACAAATAAGTGTTGCTAGAGCAAAACACCCAGACCTCTCCTGCAGTTTATTTAAAAATCCTCCATTTAGAATAGGAAAACAAAAACGTGCTATGAATTCAAAGTATGTAATTAATATTTGCAGTTTCCGCATGTGAGAAAAGTTAAGCACGTGCCTAAATGTTTTAGTGTGCTATAGGGGGGCAATCTTGGAATACACTGTTTTAAGATGGAATAGCTTGTTCTCTTTCAGGTTGTTATGAATTTCTGTACCATGCATTTTGTTCTTGTGTGAGAGGCATTTATACCCCATTGTATGAAATGTCTCAAATGCTACTTGGTTATTTGTTGAAGCTAAAATGTATATACTAGGATTAAATACACTTAAATGTGTATGCTAAATTATATAGCATTTGGTTCTTTCAGTGCTTCCTCATTTACTTCAGGGACACAGGACAAAGTCAATTGCCATTTTGTGAGCATTTGTGTGGATAATGATGTCAGAATCTGAAATAGCTACATAACCACGCCTTGGCATAGGGTTATGTCTTTTGAGTTTGTGTTGTGGTTTGCACATTTGGTAAATTCTGACAGTGAAGTACAGTGAAGCTCCAGCTGACTTCAAAAGAGCCTGGATTACAGATCTGACATTCAATAAATACAGTGAGAATTACTTTTTAAGTGGATTTGAATTTTAGAATAAATAACATATTTGAAGAGATTCTAGCAAATGTAGATGTGGCCATGAACTGTTTCAGCTCTGTGAAAGAAACATAATTTCTTTTCTTCTATTGATATTCAGGTTCCAAAATGAACAAGTGGCCTTAATTTGCAAAACTGGGAAAGATACTTGGGATCGGTATGCCATTTCATAGCTGCACCATAGCACGATAGGCTGCTTAGACACAGACCTCTGTTCTGTACTTCATACGCTTTCGTTGTAACATATTGACATTTTCTGTCAGGGCCACTGCCAGGATTTACAGGGCCTGGGACAAAGTATGGAAGCCTTCTGCTTAGCAGCTTACAAATGTGTAATGTTGCTTAAGCCACATACTTTACACCATGACCCAGACAGCCTCTTACTGTTGCCTCAGTTCCAGTATTTTCCAAGTCTCCACCATTTCTGAACAACTCATGATAGACATGTTGCAAAGTACATCAATAGATCTTGGTCTACCCTCCCTAAGACCTGAGATGTGCCCTGGCAGTGGCCCTGGGTTTTTCTTTCTAACATGGCTGTGCTAACCTGGAGGAAGACAAGAGCAGGGCTGTTGAGAATGCTTTTTCATTTGCTGTTTGTACACTGTTATATTATACTGAAGGAAGTTAAAATCTTGGAGGAGGCAACTATCCATCATTAGTGTTGTTAGTAACGAACAAAGCAGGTTAATATTGCAAAAATAATCTCCCTGGATTGGTTTTTATTTTTGGGGGTATGGGGCAGTTGGGTTTTTTTGAGCTTTAGCAATGCCTGCACCATTTATTCATTGATTCATGGATGTGCATGGGGTGATTTTGGTGACTATCTGAACAACAGAATTCCATGAATTCAACTCAGAAGTAGCCAAAGCCTTTCTTAAAATAGATAGAAAAAGTTTTTCAGTTGATGTGTTAGTGCCTCCACCCAGAGTTACAGTGGTATCTGAACAATGACACCTGAGCAGCATGCTCAGGACTTACATATTGAGTGACAAATTCTTGTGGTAAAGCAAAATTCATAGACATCACTATTGCTCAGAGATCACAAGAAAGCATTTTAAATTCTTCGTAGACTTTTTTTTTTTTAAATGACTTGCTCATTTTTGCAAATGAATTTGTTAGGACCTGACTGAAGAATGAGTGAAGCCATCAATTCAGTGGACAAAGCTTCAGGTCCATGGTGGGGTCTCATCAGTGCTATAGGGGAGCTGTCAGACAATGCTCAAAAGTCACTTTGAAGAGTCATTTTTAAAGCCATTAACTGTGTTAATGTTTTATCTGGCTACAAAAAGCAAAGGGTTGGGTTTTTTCCTCTTCAGAGGCATCAGTCTTGCCTCTGGTGTCACCCAGGCACTGTTCTATCTTGACCTTAAGCCCAAATTTTTCTCTTTTGTTGCAGAGAGAATGAAATAATTCAACTGACTGTAATTCAGTGTCTTTGGACAGCTGCAAGTTAGCAAGGAGGGGTATATATGAATACCCACGTATATATGTGTATACATATAGATTACATATATGTGTACTTCTGCTTGCTAAATATATATACATGCACAGGCATATACATATGAATATGTATAGCCATAAATATCCTTTCAGTCTTTCTACGAATTTTTTTTTATTCACTTGGTATTACAAATGCCATTATAACAGTTTTTACCAAAAAAGGGACATAACATCATAAAATAATAATAAGTAGAAACAGAATCTGGCACTGAGAGACCTGGTGTACATTTAAACATTAATCAGCAAATAAAGTACATGCAAAATTATAGTTCTAAAAATACAAATGGAGAGTGCTACACCGCTTTCTTCTGCCATACTCTTAGCAAAACCTCTTTGAACCTGAACAGATTTTCATCTTCCAATAGACATGCATTTATCTCTATCCCCTGCGTTATCTGTTTCTGCATTGGAAATGAAGAGGATAGGGGTGAGCAAGGAAGCTGTTCTCTCAACCTATGTTCTAAGTGAAAAAAAGAATTAAAATATCAGATTATATTTTAATATCTTATCTGTTTCTAGCTTTTCAAAGCATTCTTCTACAGCTGTTTGCTAAGCATCTGTGATGGTAATCTGTATTTCCTCAGCTGCAGGTATCTTTTGTTATCAGCTTTTTTATGTGTCTGGCTAAAGCTCCCTTCTACTGAATGTCACTTATGAGATCATAAATGTAATAATTATCATTTACAGCCTTAAAAAAAAGCCACCACCAAGTCTACCACAAAGGGATTATGCTACAGGTAAGGCTGTATTAATGTAAATTTAAACTGCATGTCTGTGTAAATTTGTTATCTATATGCCTAACAGTATTTCAGTTATACACTGCCTCCTAATTTGTTTTTAATGAGAGTACAGAGTACCATTAACAACAACTCTGAAGGTAGTTCACGCCTCTGAAATGAAAGGCTAGCAAAAATTAGCAAGTAGCTACTCTTTCAAAATCAGTCTTTGTCTGTAGGCAGCCTGCTGTAAAAAATGGAGGAGAATTTGCATCCAGTCCCTCCCTGGTAGAAACTGATGTGAAAGTAAGTAGGGAAAAAAAAGAAAAAATGGATCATCACAGATTCAGAATCTTAATACTACAAATGTAATACTGACATCATGAATTACCTTAGAGGTAGAACTCTACTTGCTTATCATACAGCACTGCCCACAGACTAGTTCATGTTAACAGCCATCTTTTTAAGACAATAACTGAAGCAAAGAGAATAGAGTTTGGAAGTTATCAGATAAGTGTACCATGTTTAACATCAACATTTGTAATTAGTGTCCTGTCTTGGAGCTTTATCCAAGAAAGTGCAGAGCCCAGAGGTCAGCAATAGTTTCATTATCTAGAAATTGTCACCCCTACTTAAAAATGAGATGCATTAGCAGGACACTGTGGGTAAAGTACATGCTCTGCTCTTTGGACCATGTGCAGTTTGGCATTTTCTAATGCTTTCCCGACAGCCCTGAAACAATTTGTCAAAAACAAGCAAGACAGATGTGTTGCTTCAAACTGTTTAGGAAATTATTTCCACTCTTTTTAAATTGAATATGATAAGTATAGATTGAAAAAACAATCTAAGATAAACATCTATGTTCACTCTTCCATCTCCTTAAATAATCTTATGTTTGGTTTAGAACATGCAGACAATGAAGAGGAACAATGGTCAGATGATTTTGTAAGTACATATTTTGGGGTAGTCGAAGGTTACTGTAGCAGCAAGTTAGCACAAGAAATAATAAGAAAAGTTTAGTTTTGAATCATCTAGTTGTGGTTTAACTTAATACTACTGAAATATTACCTTATTTGTCACATCAGCTTTATTCACAAGTAGCCACTAACTTTTACCTACCTCAATTTTTTTACACTCAACTTAGAAGTACTTTCAGAAGCACTGTCAATGGCAGCCATGGACACTAAGCTTTTTGGATAAGTAAGCACATGGCATCAATTTGAGGGACTTCTCAAACTGAACAATAATTTCAGAAACCAGTAAGATCTTTTACTTGGTGGAGGGAGGGTAGAAAGGGTAAGGAGAGGAAAGCCACTTCTTAAAAATGAAAAACTTCTGCTAAGATTTTAGAAAGCACTAGAATGAAGCAAGCCATGGCCATCAGCCATGTAAAGTGATGGTGCAACTGTCAGCCTGAAGTGACCAATTTCCTTCTGGAGTTAGATCTTGATTACCATTTTAATAGGAAAGGGAGAGGAAGTGACAAGACACAGCAAGAGTCCCAGCTGGAACTAGAAAGGAGCTGTCCTGGGAAGGGAAACAAGCTGTTGATCCATAATTTGAAGACAGCTCTTGAGGTGAAAGGACTCCTTGGAGACCATAAGAAGACAGGGAGCAGGAAGTTCCTGGGAGGAGCAGAAGGGGAGGCAGGTGGAAGCACCCATCTGTTTAAAGAGGAAGCACTAAAAGGGAATGTAATGTGTCCTTTCAAGGATAGCTTGTTGTAATTTAGTTATTGTACTCCTGCAAGGATATTTGTGTTGTACATTGCTATAAATATGTTATGAGATGAAAAATGGGAAGTTCTGTCTTTCTAGGACAGTGATTATGAAAATCCAGATGACCACTCTGACTCTGAGATGTATGTGGTCCCCAGTGAAGAGAATCCTGATGACAGCTATGAGCCACCTCCAAGTGAGAAGGAGAAAAAGAAGATTCCCTCTGCTTTTCCTATTTCTAGGGGTGAATATGCAGGTAGTTATGGAATAGTTGACTATGTCAGCTTGATAATTGCTTATTGATCAGTACCAGAAGAGATGTGGCCTCAAACAGACTAACCTGTCCTTTCCTCAAGACTTTGCTTTTAACTCTGACAGTCAGGTCTTCAGCATTCAGGGGTAGGGGTTTTTAGTATTACAGCATGAAACAAGTTAGTATTGATGGTAGTTAAGTTTACAATTTTAATATAATGTGTCCTAGAGACTTTAATATACATCTACTAACTACAAAATGCAAGCAAAGTTATGGGAGAGATCAGTAATTTGGCTCCAGATTAATCCACGCATGAGGATGCAGGAATTCATATTAAAGATTGGGCATAGAAGACTAGACAGGTCCGTTCTTAGTCTTCTCTGTTTCTCCAATCATTATTCCAAAAACAGAGGACAAAGTAGCCCAAATATTCATTTCATATTGTCCTTGAAGACTGGTACTGAGGATGATAAATATCCTGAAAAACAGAACAGGATCAAGATTTTATTTACATCCATCCAGTGTAGAGGCATTTTTTTTCTTTCTGTTTCCACTATTTTCAACCATGGAAAGATTGCATTGAAGTGAATGAAAGTTAGCTTCAGATAGATGAAGATTTGAGACGTGGAAAAGAAACGCTGACATGCCTGCTTTCACTTTGGTATGATACAAGACTGTTCCTAGTTGCAGAATATTTATCAAAGTGCTAAAATACCACATGTGTACTCACAGAAGTTTATCAGCACTTCATTTATGCGTTCTTTGTAAAGGCAGTTGTTAAAATGACACCCCAGAGAACCTGGCATAATTTATGTTCCAGTCCCACCCTTTGTGCTGTGTAACAGTTGTTTTTCTCATATGTCAGATACGTTCTTTCTCACTTCCTATCACCAAAGTTCATACCAGCACAAGACATACTAACAAAAGGACCACCCAGCCATGAGGTGTGTGAGCTGTGTAACTCCTTGTTTCCCTAAGGAGTTAAACAGCTGTTCATAGAACAGTCAGTGCCTAAGTAACCTCTGCAGCCTGTTACAGAGGAGGGGGTTGCCACCATGAGCAATGAAGGTGGCAGGACCAGTTTACACACAAGTCTCAACATCAGGACCAGCTATGCTCAGGTCTGCCTTTTGACCTGAGCTGCAGTCACAAGTAAAGACTTGTTTGCACAGGTAGTAGAAGACAGTGCAGAGGCTAATGTGTAATTTTTCCTAAAATTGTTGGTTTTTTCCACATTAAAAGACAATCGCACCAGTCACCAGCAGCTTCCTCCCATCAACAAACCTCTTCCAAGTACACCCAGTCCAGCCATGTCCAGACCAAAGAAACCATGTGTGCCATCCCTGCCACTGCCGTCTCCTGCTGCAAAACCAAAAGTACCACCAAAGCCTAAGGAGTGTAGTGATGATGAGGTAAAGTTTACATATATACTTGTTTTGGCTGTTTAAATGTTTGATGACTCCAGACCAATAAGACAGATCAGAGCAATGCCATGACCTGGTCCCTTTCTTAGCCTCTATGGACAAATCACAGTGTACATCACAGTGACCTGTGAGTACCATACTGAGCCCTGGGGGATATCTGCCTACTCTGAGTACCAAGGAGGCTCTTTAGACCACAAAGTAGTTTCTGATCATCCGTAACAAGCTGCAGGCAGTGGGAGACAGTAACCTCAAAGACTACTCCAGGACCAAAGGGAAGGGAGGAGGGCTTTCATGCACCAGTCTAGAACTGGAATTATTTGGTAAAGGGCTTTCAGTCTTTGGGAATTCCATCCACATAGGATGATAAATGTCTGAAATAGCAGTCACTGTGAAATGACAACTGTTGTAAACTGCTTCAATCCCAACAGTTGGTTGATGTGATGGAGGTTTAACTGGTAGATTTTTGTCCTGCATTTCTCACAGGATAATTACATTGTGCCAGTGGACAATGATGACGATAACTATATTGAACCCACAGAAAGCAGCATGTCACTACCTACAAAATGTGAGTTTTAGTCATTTAAGCTAATAATTATTGTGTTCTTAGGAACAACAGTGGAAAAAAATTGATCAAATAATGTCTCTTTCTAGGGTTCAAAGAGTGGAGATGCAGCTATTAGAGAAAACACAGTCTGTAAAAAGGCATTTGGCTCATGACCAGGCCAAGGAAAATTATTTTTAACTTTATTATTTTTAACCTTATTGGAAGCCATGTTTAATTTCTGCCTCTCTCAGTTATTTCTAAGTCCAGCCCTTGTACAACCAGGCATGTGATCCTAATCATCCAAGGGAGCTACAGCATTAAAATTCTCTGTTTACTGAAGTGCCTTAGGAGAAGAACAAACATTTTTAAATATTTCAGATAAAGACAGACTTTGATTGTATTTTTTTATTTTGTTTTTAATCTCACTATTTGTAGTATATTTAGCTGGAGAGTGAAATTACTACAGCCTAAAGGTGAAAAGCAAACAGAGAACACTAAGTAATTCTGCTCTCTGACATCACTGACAGTATCAAACCTATTCAGGAAGGCATGAACACTGAATAATGTTTCCCTTTTAAAATAAGAGCTGCTTTCTGACTCGATTGATTTATTCAAGGTCACACAAAAAGGCTACCACTTGGACCTACTTAATATTCATTCTTATTGTTAATTTGTTCCATTGTTAGTTTGTTAACATGTGTATATATAAATAGATGTGTACACATATGTAAATATATATGTATATACACACACATGCACAATTATGTATGTACATGAATAAAATATGTTTTTAGCTCCTGGGAACAGATTTATGAAGACAACAAAGCCAGGCCCCCCTACTTCTCCAAAGCCTTCTCTTACTTCTGATATGCAAGGTACGTGGAGTTTGTATCACTGTTAAAAGAAAATAATCTAAGACTGAGGAATATTAAATTACACTTAATATATTCACAACACAAACCTTATGACATACTTCAGTAAAACTTAAATATGTTCCTCTTTAGTTTTTCTCTGTTGTAGCAGTTGCTTTGCCTAGCTTGAATAGTAAATCCATTTTAAGCATGAATAAAAGTAGAGCAATTTCTTTGCCCAAATTAATTCATTTTTAGTCTTTTGCTTTAGTGGAGGAATGCAAATAGATCAATACGGCAAAAACAATTATAGGGCTCGGTATGTTAGTAATCCCATTTCACTATAGGAATCAAGACCTAATACTTTGACCACATCAGGATTTAACCATATAGAAGTTCCTTATAGGCTGATGTTTTGCTTGTCCTTTGTTCCCATTTAAGTTCTATAAAGAGCAATTTATTTGGAAAAAAAAAAAACCAAAAGATGAAGCAAATAAGAGGAATCCTATTTGCTTTTGTAAGTGCAGATATACTTGTTTAATCTTCCAGTGCCAACTCAGAGTTGTTTTGTATCCTCATTATCCCATTAATTGCTTAGAATGTAACCTTTACAGACTTATGACAGTTCTTTAAAAAGCTTTGCATATTCATTAGTAATACGTTTAGCTTTCAAGTTGCAAACTACAAGTCATAAACTAAAATTCTTACTGAATGATTTAAGATTTCGTTAGTTACTTTCCAGACATTTTAAAATGCCCTTTTCAATCTCAGCCTTTCTGTAAATCAGTGTCGAGCAACAACCAGCTCCTGACAGACGTTACTAAAAATAAAACATCTCCCCCTGGTGGGAACTCAAACACTTCAGCACAACAAAGTGAGGAAGCCTGACGTGAAATTTTTTGAAGTAGGGTTCTATTTTCATTGAAGAAACTGAACATAGATAAGAATGCTTGTGGGTTTTGCTCTTAACATCTACGAATTAAAACATACGTGTGTGTCAGAGAATGGATGCTGGCCACGCAGATGCACCAGCTTGTATTTATGATTCACCTATCTCTTCCTCCCTGAGAGTCAAGGAAAGGCTAAATGCTAGCACAGGTGTGATAACACATTTTTTCCAAACTGTCCCGTGTTTGTACAACACAAACATTCACCTTGCTTTGGGGGGAAAAAGAAAGAAAAGCAAAACAAAAAAAAAGGTTGTGGGGTGGGTGGAAACTTCATTAATGCAGTGACTGTTGATCAGAATTCCTGGGACATTTCCTGAAGTTTCCACTAGAAGACCGGGGATTTTGCTACTCCAGAGTTTTGGAGGCAGAATCAAGTTCTGAGCAGATTCTCCAAGATATTTTTCCAGAGTCAGAAGTACAACTGATACAAAACAGATCAGTTTTTCTGGTAACATGTAGTATGTTTTTGCTAACCAAAGAACACTTTTTTTTTTTCCTTCCTGTCCTACAGAAGTCTATGAGGTTCCTGAAGAAGAGGTGAGGCCTTTCTGTAGTATGACTTGCATTGCTCTCAGGCAGGGTACAAATATGATTGCGAAAAAAGATTATCAGTCTTTCAAGGGGAAAAATGGGAACAAATCTCTGTCTGCACTTAAAACTTTCTGACACTCCCTTCTCAGAAAAGCTGGCAGACTGATTCCAAAGGTCTGCAGAACAGAGTAAATGGGAAGGGGCAGCAATTTCCCAGTCCTGTGTGACAGTTATCCAGTCTGGGAAGCAGCAGCCTAACGGGATGCTTTTCAGAAGCAGAACTGCAGCAGAGGAGCAATGACAGCTCTGACACAGTAATTTTCTTCCCACTTGCTGGTACTGACATAATATGGCCAAAGCAGATTTACTGGTGTTGAGTTCTTGCCTCTCCCATCCTAGTGCAGATTACCAGACCAGGCTTTAATAGAAATCTATACCACAATGCAAAAATAATATCTTGATGTGGTAACATAAATAGGATCATACAAATGTATTTCATGAAATCAAAAAGTGACCAAAAAATTCAGTGCATTTTCTCTTACAGGAAAAACCATCACCACCACCACCACCGGTAGCCAGGTAACCCATTGCTGTGAATGTTTGTGCATTATTTAAAACTTGTCAGAAAATATATTTTCTTATCTAGATACAACATGTTTGATAATTCTTTCTCTAGAAGATATATATGCAGTAAATATCTCTTTAGATTATCTATACAAAAATTATCAACCATTTCTATGCTAATTTCAATAACCCAAGCACAACACATTAAAAAGAAATACCTCTTAAGGGTACTTTTTAGAATTTTGAGGGGGTAGGGGAGGAGAAAGAGAGGTTTTCTTTGTATTCACAATTGTTAAATATAATTTTCATTTCTTAATGCATGTTTTATTACTAGGTTCACTAAGCCACTTCTGTCTATACCTGCCAAGAATACAGAGCACTCCCACATGCACAGTATGACCAGAGAACCACCTAAACAGGAGACTTGCAGGTAAGTCAACAGCAGCTTAGATCAATAGGAAATATTAGCAGAGAGAAGATTTTCTCCTCTCTAATGTGTAGCCTTCTGACAACAAACAGTTGTCAGGACACTCACTGGGACAAGATGAGAACTGAAAGCTCTAGTTTTCTTGTGAACTTCTGCAGTCAAGCCAGTTTGCCAAATGGATAGTATTTTCTGGAATATCCCTTTAGGGATCCAGTGCAGGGACAAAATATCTCTGAAAGCCAGTTTAAAGTTCTGTTAGCCATCTCTGCACCCCTGCAAATGCAATGTTTTTGCAGGGGCACAGGATTGCTTGTAAAGAAACTGGACACAGTAAATCCACAATTTGTACTCCAAGCCTCTGGAGGAAAAGAGAAAAAGTATACTTGAGCATGCAGCCTACTTCACTCCTGTGTCCCTAGAAGTGTAGGAAGCTGCTTCATAACCACTGTCTCATCTCTAGGACATTGCTTTACAAAATAGGCCAGGACAGAAGCTATTCTAGATTAGTTCCACACCAAGAGCACAGCACCACCAGCACAGCATCACCAGCACAGCATCACAGCCACTGCAGCAGTGCATAGCTGGAATTAAAACTATTTACAGGAGACCTCCTTCTCTCTAGATCTTGAAAAGCATATCTGAGCCAAGAAATTACACAAATAAATCCTACTCCATTTATTTTTTATATTTTTCAGAAATATTTTTTATATTTTTCAGAAATATTTTTTATATTTTTCAGAAATATTTTTTATATTTTTCAGAAATATTTTGCCTCTTCCCAGAAGTCGTCTTCATCCAAAACCAGTGAGTAATCAATGGACTACTATAAAAGAATGTGTTAAACTTGGGCTGTGTTTTATACATAAATAGATGGATGCTTTTTATTATCTGGATTAAGTAACAGAAACAGATGACTCAATGTCATATTCATCTAATATTGTAATTGTTGCTATTAATCTTCTGGACAAAAGAGCATTGGACATCTGTATTGATCCAAGAAAAAGTTTAAATGTTTTAAGGGATATATTTTTCAGTCCACAAAAATAATTTCTTGTCTTACAAAATAGCAGCTGAACACCAGGAACATTAAGTAGTAAAGGGCAATTTTGCCCAGTCTGAAGTACCTTCCTTGAGCTTCATTCCTCTCAGATGATGAGTGATTAATGCTTTCTGAAAATGGAAACATTCTAAAATGTCAGACTGGGTAGTCTGAGTAACCAGTATCACTAGAAAATACACTCCATGAAGGGCTAATTACAAGCTTTGGGTTCCTAAGGCTGTGTTTCAGTCAATTCTCTTCTCCCTCTACTCTTGTCCCCAGTCTGTCCCTTCCACTGTGCTGGAACAAAGGTTTTTTGAAGCAAACTACTTGGAAACTTGTCTAACTGCAGAAATGAGCAAAAGCAAATGCACAAAAGATTCTTTTTCAGCCAGATTAGTTACATAAATTGTTGTGCACCATAGCTCTACTCACAGTTGTTCCAGCACAAAAGGGTGTGCATGAGGAGCCAGCTATCAAGAAACAGGGTGACAGTAACTGCATCAGTAGCTGTGCCAAAAGCCATGTGCATCAAACTGCATCCTGGCCCAATGGTCTGAGTTGTACCTAAGAAATAATCAGTCTACCAATAGCTATATAGAGAAATTAGACACTCAAAATTAGGAATTTGGGGTCATATCATAGGATTAGATGTTATGGTAACATTATGCAGGTGGTATATGAGTCTTATTTTCAATTTCTATATATACCAAGTATTTTGTACATACAACAGTATCAGCATTTTAGTTTCCCTTCTACCCCATCACAAAATTCTTCCCATTTAGATCTATATCCCATGGGATGCTGAACAATTCCCAAGTGTTGCCAAGGTCATGATTTCTCTTCTGTGAAACAGTTTCTCAGCTTTTCTTACCAATAGATTAGAGGACAAAAATGCTTCTGAAGGGACAGTGTTGGACACAAATTCCGCTATCTGAGTAGCACTAAGAATACTACTCCTGCTTCACAACAGACTCAAGTGCCACATTGCAGCTGAAACCTCTCCATTAATGTATTGTCAGAGCTTAGCTCTGAGATGGATATCATCCCAGCTTTGCAGAGTAAAAGGAGACTATCCTTTTGCTGGAGCCACATACCGAGTTAATTACAGCTCCAAGGATGAAGCTCCCAAACACTCATCTGTACCATGGATGTATTCAGCTCCTGGGTCATTGCAGTTAGCCAGTTTGTCACAAGAGTCAGCCTAGGAAAGAGTTAGTCAGTGTAGTCCAAATTTTAGGGTCTTTGCTTGTTTTGTAAGTGGTCAGCCCTTACAGATTTAAACAAAAAACATGGTAATGAGCATGATGTTTGTCAAATGCTGTGTTGTGCTTTTCCATCCCTAACTATGCACATTGACAAAGCAAACAATAACTGAAACATCTGTTAACTGCTCCCATTCAATCCACTGTCAACACCAACCAGCACTGATCATGTGCACAGAACTGTAACCCTTGTTCCTCTCAAAGGCCCTGGCTGACTGGGAAAATAATTTCTCCATGTTTCACTTCCCCAACTGTTGGATGATGGATTACACCTCTCCAACCAGAGAATGGATGCATTTTTGACCAACACTAGTGAAAAGTCATTAACTGGCAAGATGAAGATGGACAAATTAATACCTGGTGCCTCTTTGAAAGGTACTTATCATATGGGAGTCCGATTCCCTACAAGACAAGAAATGAGGGCCAAAAGTAAGCATCTCCAGAAGAAGCCAGGAAATTAGTTGGATTGCTTCAATTCTAGCATGGTGTAAAGACAGTTTACTCAGTTTCCTTCTTTCAGTGGAAGATGTGTTTTTAGTATATTCAAATCTGCTGCAAAATTTCTGTCTTCAGCTCAGAAATTAAACATGAACCAAAAGGTCTCGCTGCAACACTCAGGCCCAATTTTCTCAACACTACAGGCAATCTCAAGATTATTAGAAAGTTTGAACTTTGATGTTTGCTTTAAATTTTTCAAATTACATCCTAAAAGCTAATTAAAAATATTATGGATCCTATATGCATTCTGTACAAATATTGCTTTAAAAATCACTACAGATGCCAAAGCCATATTGATTATTTATGCACTTCTCATTAAAGAATCATTAAGGTTGGAAAAGACCTCTAAGATTGAGTCCAACTATTAACCCAGCCCCACTGTGTTCACCACTAAACAATATCCCCAAGTGCCACATCCACACACCTTTTGAAGACTTCCAGGGATGGTAACTCCACCACTTCCCTGGGCAGCTTGTTCCAATGCCTGACCACCCTTTCAGTGAAAAAATTTTTTCTAGTATCTAATCTAAACCTCCCCTGGTGCAACTTGAGGCCATTTCCCCTTGTCCTGTTGTTTGTTACCTGGGAGAGCAGGCTGACTCCCACCTGGCTACAACCTCCTTTCAGGTAGTTTTAGATAGTGATAAGGTTCCCCCAAGCCTCCTTTTCTCCAAGCTAAACAACCCCAGCTCCCTCAGCCACTCTTTGTAAGACTTGTGTTCCAGATCCTTCACCAGTTTTGTTGCCCTTCTCTGGACATGTTCCAGCACCTCAATGTCCTTCTTGTAGTGAAGGACCCAAAACTGTACACAGTAATTCCTTTTTTTAATTTCTTCATATCAAATCTAACCTATTTTTCCATTACAGGACCATGAAGCAAACAATAATGATGAGAGTAAGTATTCCATATTGAAAACATGGCAATATGAGAGGGATTGATATGCCACTGGTGACCTTAATATAGAATGCAGTGTAGTGTGTCAGTGTAAATTTTATCTATAACGGTGAGCAACAAGCAAGAAGTGTTACTGAACTGTTTTCTAGTATAATCAGAGTGAAAATATGTTAAGATAAAAATTAAACCAATGGATATTTTTTACTTTTATTACATTAACACTAAAATGGCAGTGGGGAAAATCCACTGTTCAGATACAGCTAATATTGCATACTTAAGATGTTGCTTGCATCTCTAGGTCAGAGATTCAATAACACACAAGAATCCAGATTTCTGCCTGGAGCAACTCCATCTCCATTACCAAGGGGCCTGTGAGTAAAAAATAATAAAACTACTTCTTTGATGGGGAGTGCTTTAATAGGTATATTAGGAGCTAACTCCTATCCTTGCCTATGGCAATTGGAATTCAGGAATAATTTTTATTGCTGTTTGAGACAGATATCCTAACTAGAGAAAGGCAAGCTAATATTTTGTTATTTCCAGAGGAATACTGTTTGTGTGGCGTAGCCCTTCACTGCCTGCCACTTATGGCAGGTGCTGGCTTGCTTAATTTAATCTCATACTGCAGCACTAGCATATGCAAGCCTAGTTGTGTTTGTCATTAAAGTTCTTCTGCCCCACCCAAGTTGTCATCTTACGTACTGGACAGACTGTAGGTTCCTTGCATAAATACCTTTCCCAAATACCCACATTACATCTGACACCCTAATTCTTTTCTTATTCTTTTTTGTTTCTAAGTCCTACAGCTATCCAGTGCATCCCATCTTAGATAGAAACACCTTGAGAATCAATGACACTGATCCTTAATTGCTAAATGAATTCATGTATCTGCCAAGTAACCATACACTTTTTTTGTTTTCTTTTTCCTCCAATCTTCAGCAAGAAAACTTCTAATGTGGTAAATTCACCAGTAAGTTGACTTGTAATTGCATAACCAAATGATAATTTTATTAAATTTTTAATGTACTGTAAAACCTAATTTTATCATATGTTTGGGTACAACTTAAATGCCTAAAAAGATGAGGGGGAAGAGAGTTATAAGGAAAAGAAATATTTGGGTGCCATTACCTGAACTAAGAGCAGTGAGAAAGCTCAAGTGGGAAAGTATTTTGATTAAAGGGATATTTGGATTCAATACTCCAGGATGTAGCAATAAACACAGTGCAAGACCTGAATAAATGAGAAATAAATGGGAACACAGGCCATTCAGAAGTATTCCTGGAAATATACAGGGCTGCCTATGGGGAACATGAGTTCATTGTAAGAGTGACAGGATTTTACCAAATTTGTTAGAGGTTTTTCAGTAAGTATTTCATCATTAGAAAAATATTGCAAAATCTCTAGTGGGAGAAAGTAAGACGACTGGTTAAAATTTTCAAATAAATTAATTTGAAAAGTGTTTCAAAACTGGCAGTTTATTATCATTGTTTCAAAACGAAAAAAAAATTGAAACTGGAAGGTTGGTTGAGTTTTTACTGTGAGTTAAACTGATAGTTTAACTTTCAGTAAAAAGAAAGCTGTTCAGAAATTTGTGAGCATAGCTCAATAAGGGATAGACTCTTCATTTTTGGGCCTGAGATAAGAATGAATCATTTGTTACACCACAAACTTACCAATGGAAGTTTAAAAAAAACAAACACATGTCTCCAGATTTTGTCTGTCTATTTATACCCACAAACTGGGATTCTTTCCAAATCTATTTTGCAAAATCCTGAGCTTCAAGGTTGTACAATTAAGAGGCTCTTCAGAGAATGGCTGTGTCTCTGCCTCCTAATTCCTCCAGGATGTTGTCAAGTCTACATGTAAACTAGTTCACAAAAAGTATAAAAAGATAAACATTTGCTGTACTAGTGACATGCCATTTAATATTTGGTGTCCTTCTGTTTCATTGCAGAAACCATGTTTACCGTCCAGAGAGATCTTAACTGCAAATGAAGGTAAATTATCTCCACTACTGTGAAAAAGTTGACATTTATCAGAATTAAATTTCCTTCTTATTAGAAACATGAAACAAATAACACCGCATTCAACTTATTCTGGTTTTTTGAGGGGTGTTTGGTTTCAGCCGTTTCAGGCTGGATCTGGCCAGCCTGAGCTGCACTGAATATCATTGTTCTCTGAAATCAGTCACAGTAAAACTATTGAGGTTACTGGCGGGGTAATGTAGGACAATAATGGACCAGAAATGTGCCATATAGCCCTCTGAGTGGCAAGGAGGGAAGGGAGGCGAATCACTCAGTTCTCAGCCAGAACCACCTCACAGGGAGCCGACTCCTGGCACAGACACAAACTGCGTCCCGTCCCTGCTCCTCCAGGCAAAGGCTCAGCAGGAGCTGCTGTCTGACACCAGGGTGAGATGCAGCCAACCAGCCAGCTCTTGCAGGCAGCCTGCCCCAGTGTCCTCCCCCTGTGTCACACAGCTCGCCTCTCAGAAGGCAAGTGTCCCACTGCGACCCTGCAGGCAGCCACAGCACAGCTATTTGCCGAGAAATTTGCTGGTATGCCACTAATTAACAAAGAAAGTAGCGCGATAGCAAGCTGCCATGTGAGAAAAATTCCCAAACGTTATAGCAAAAGAAACCCTCCTTCAACTGCTGGAACTCTCTTATCTGGGACAATATGTTTCTGAAGAAATCTTGACTCTAACATTTGTTTTACCAAACCACAGAAAAACCTACAGCAGCAGAACGACGACGAAGTTCCAACCAAGAGCTTCCACTTCCACCCCTTCCAAGTGGTGCACAGAAGTAAGATTTCTTTCCATGATCTTTTGAATATTTCAGGGCACCAGCACCTGCTGCTTGTTCTGAATACAGCTGTGAGAGGTTCAAAGGGAAGCACTGTTTTTCACTGTAGCCTTCTGTTGAGAGTTGTGGTTCCTGAAGCCTCACAGTAGCACAAAAATAAAGCATAGCAAATGAATGCATCCAAATACTATAGCCATCACCAAAAAGCAGGGAAGGATATAATATCTCATAAGGAAGGTAATGGAGATTTAAACCAGGTTTAAATTCCTTGTTTTCAGTACTAGTGGGATATAATTTTTTTAAATACCTGTATCAGACTCTTAATTTCTCAATGGACAGATGGGTAAGATGGAACACATTCTATCACTGCATGCTTCAAATACACAATTTTCATGATATCAGAACAGGGTAGATCCCCTCAGACCTTTCTGTAATCTCTTGATATTTATTTCAGGCCTCTGCTCCAAAAGTTCTCAATTCTGCCAAGTAAGTATAATTCAGTTTTTGAATTAATATGTGATTAACTTGTAATTTCAAATTAATCTTTGATTTAAGATTATTTCAATATGCCATGCATATTAATTATTTTCGAATTAATATATCTGTAATGCATACAAAGAGGAGATCAAGTATCCAGGGTCTTAGCTCAGCTAGTAAAATTAAGGAAGTATGTCAGGGTAATTGATGGAAATTGGGTGCTTCATTTCCATTTATGACTACTGGAAATTTCTACCAAAGGCAGTTTGGGCCATTTCCCATCATAATAAAGATTCCATCAATCTTCCTTGCCACAAAAGAATCCTAAATATGACATTTCTGGGCTGTTCCAGGCTTCTCTTGCCTAGAAGACTGACAGATTATTATTGCCTCCAATTTATTCTTTCTCTACAGGAGGGGGGAAAAAAAAGTATTTTTATAAAGGCAAATGCTAAAGCTCTTCTGTTTTCCGAGAGGAACTTTGTTTCAGTTCACAGTTAAATTAGGTAATATGTATATTTACTCTCTTTGCACAGAAGTGTAAATTAGATTTAGCATTTTTCTAGTCTCTTATGAGCAGACACTTTTCTGACCTTCCTATAAGCCCTTTTCTCCATGTGTTCAGCCTCAACATATCTTTCACATTGTAAATAAATGGTAAGAATTGCACATAGAAATCTGCATTTGGTGTAGCTTAAACTTATATGCTGCTATTAGTGCATCTATTTCCTGGAAATGTTTGCCTGATGGATGTTGCAATTATATCTCCTCTGCTGAGGAAGTATAATAATGGTTCATCTTAATGACATTGACTGATGCTCTTAAGTTTGTCTGCTCCTGTCACACAACTGATGTGCTTCAACTTAAAGCATAAATTCTTACTGCTCTCTGAAGTGTAACTATTCTTTGAGCTCATGTGGTGCTAAATGATGCTCTGATTAGTAAATTTTCTTTAACATCATCTTCTTCTGTGTCAGGTCCAGCAACAACTTTATCACACATACAACTGGTCCCTAATCTCGAATGTCCCTTCAGCATAACCTGTCATCTTTTTTTTGTCCCCATACAAGACTAGAGCTAACTTTTATCTTTTCTACTAAAAGGACTTATTTCCCATATGGCACAGTATCAGATGCTCCACTGAAGTCCAGATTAAGTACAGTGCCATATTCCCTTTTTGTAGAACTCTGTTATTTTATCAAAGAGCTGTAACATTTTATCTACTTGGGTAAGTTTCAGATTTTGTCTTACTAGTTGTATCTTTACCTCCAAATCTTAATGTTATTTCCTTCAAAGTCTCTCCTAGGGCCTTGTTCTGTGGAATAGACAGAAAGGCCTGTAATGCTCAGCTCACTTTTTCCAACTTTAGGTACAGCAATTATTTTTGGTATCCTTTAATCATATGGTACCATCCTGACTTGAAAATTATTTAAAATTACTGTTACCCCTGAATTTCATGTGCCAGTTTTTGAAATTTCTGGGGTAAAGATTATGTGGGCCCACCAGTTCAATTGTACTAAGTTATTTAAGCTTTGCTTCCATTGTGGAAATTTCCATTTCTGTATCAGAACTACTATTTGTTTAGTACCTAGATTACCTTTAAAATCAATAAAATTGTTACTGCATGAAGCCCCATCTCTCTTTCCTTTTTCACACAGCTAAGGAATCTTTTATTACTTATTTCAATGTCCTTTTGTCAAGTCTAATTTGGGCTAACTTCTGGCAGTTCTTACTTTATTCATACAATCTACTTTTCAACTGTAGCTTTTGCAGCTGGTCAGTCAAAACTTTAGAGAAAACCCCAAAATTCTTAATATTGAATATCCTTGGTTTCTAATTCCTTGAGATCTGGAACTTACAATGTCTCCCCTCCACTTGAAATGCAGCTTCCAGACAGTTGCATCTACAAAAGAAGTTTTAAACCTACTTCACACAGCTGTCTCTGAGCTCTCCAGTCCAACTGAATTTTTTAACTCTGGTCACTATATGGGCTCATCTATAACATTCTTATTCCTTTCTAAACTGAAATCTAAGTCAGAATTATATTAGTGAAGATTTGATAATGCAGTCTGCAGAGCATCACGTCCAGGAATACGTGAGTGCTAACAATCCCAGTGGCATTTGTTTTCCCCAGTAAGTAAAACACACAGGAAATAAGGCTTCCCATAATAACAAAATAAGTAACACTTAACTTTCTACAATCATCTTCTCTAGTACATTGATCTGCACTTAACTCTGACTGGAAGTACCCATAGCAGACACCTATACTCTTGGACCAAGATTCTGTTTTACCAGAAAACAATTATCTATACTTATTTCCCATATTTCTCTCATATTACTAAGCAACACTACTCAAACATTTGGCTCCTGATTTCTTAAACTCTGACATCTGTATTTCAGCCCTAACAACTATTTTCTACGATGCTTTGTTATTACAATTATAATCAAGCTTCATAGTCTTTCCTAATAATTCTGCTTCTCTATTTAGCAGCCTGGGCTTCTTGCACATGCATACAAACAATTCAGTTGGACTGTATTAGTGAAAAATTATCTCTGAGCTACATTCATTTTCATGACTCCCTCACCTATATGACTACTTCTCACACTGGACTGAGTGCTATTTGCATTGTGTTCCTGCATTTTCTTATCTGTTGCTACATTCGTTCACGTTGGGGGGGGGGAGTTTTTTCTTGTACCCTAAGTCTAGATCTGGCTATTAAACAAATTGTTAACCAAACTGGTTTTCTCTTCATAAGCAAGGCTAATCTTCTGGGCAGGCAAGCGTCCCAGCACTTATATAGGCCCCATCCATTTACAGCAGACAGCTTTCCTGAGTGATATTAAAGGTCAAGCATTTCCAGATCTTGTAACAAATTGATTTCTTACATTATAACAAACATACTTTGAAAACTTTTATACGTGTTGTTCTTTCTCTTTTCTAGAAGTGCCAGAAGCTGCAAACCGTTCTCTGGGCCCTTCCCCTCAAAGCAGCACTTCATCTATCGCAAGTTCTGCAGACCAGGTAAAACATTGGCTAATTTCATACTACAGAAATCTTCTTATCCTTTATTTTAAAATAGTATTTCCATCCCTACTCCCCTTCAAAATAAAAATGACGCTGCTTTTGTGGAGAGTGTTTGTCCCCTTTTGCAGGGAATATTTTCTGTAGCACAAAAAAATCTGAATGTTAACTTGCATTATAAAAATGCTTAGAACATATAGCATAGGCAAGGTTTAACAAACTGTAGAAAAATGTGTTCCAAACCTTGGCACTCTTATCAATCATTTCAAACAAAATTCAAAGAAACGTCTTAGTTTCATGTCTTCCTGACTCCCCAGTTCATACCTTCAGCATCAATGAAACACAAAAACCTATGGTGATGTGTATGTCCAGTCTTTGATATAGATGGCTATAAAGAGTTTTTAGTTGCCTCTTTTTTTCTAACTTATAGCTGTACATACTGTGCACAGAATAAAAATAATGTGCAGTAAGCAGAGACGATGCTGTGATGCCTCCCCCCCATTTGTTTTAGTCTCTCCCAAGTCCTGCTCCTTTCTGTTCCTTTAAACAGATCTCTTCTCATTACAGTTAATGCTTCAGTTTTATGGCCAAATCTTCTTTTATGTGTTTTGTTTCAACATTAATCCTTGAATAATCTAAGTAAATGCAAAGTTATTTTCATTTCAGTACTATTTGCCTTACTCTCATTTTGGATGAAGGGAGACTACAAAATGCAGGAAGTCATTCTTACTAGCTTAGTAGTCACAAACAAGGTAAAAGTAGTTCTGGTGAGTGTAAAACAAAGGCTCTATCATGCACAGCCAGTGACATTAAATGTTTTAAAGTCTGACATGACAAAGATAATACAACAGTGGAGAACACAAAGGATTTCAAGTTCTGGAAAAATTTTAACTGTATGTCATACTGGATATTTATTACAAAAATAACTTTCAAATAAACAATCCAGCAGACTCTAAATAAACAGCTTGTAACAATTACATTTGTAGTTTTTATGTAACAGCCACGGGCAAACCCAAAGCTTAATAAATCATCCATTTTGTTAAAAAAAAAAAAAAAATTTAATTGTTAATGTTATTTTTCCACCAATTATGTACAGTGGTATAATTTGCTGTAATTCAAACTTTGACAGCAGGTGTCTGCTTCTTCATTATAGGCTACAGATAGTGGTAGCAGAAAAGTCTGGGGGCAGTTGACTCCTTGTTTTGTTGAACAAAAGATTTGTTTGCTGGACTCATTCTCTACATGGACAAGTACCTTTCATACTTGCAATTCTTCTCATCCTTTCTTTTTCCAATGAATAGTGTGACTGAAGAAATACATGAAAGAACTTTGAAGATAAAGTTACATGTTATGGCTTGAGCCAGTCTTAAGAATTTAGTGCAATGCTCTCTCCTGCTGTCAACTCCCCTCCCAGCCACAGACTTCTCTGGAGTTCCTTTCTGATCCTGCAGTGGCCTGAGCCAAGTCATTAAACTGACAGAAAACCAACCTGGCAGTCAAACACAAAACAAGGCAAAACAAAAAGGGAAACAGATATTTTTTTTTTCATGCAAGATTAATAAAGTGAATTATCTCACCATGGGATCAGATGAGCAACAAAATGAGCACAAAGGAGAAGCCAAGACATTCTCTTTTTGGCAGCAATAATCCAGCTAGACCAGCTCAGTCATAATGTGCAACTTCAGCTTTAATCTGTTTTGTCCAGAGGTGACAAAGCTTGTGTGAAAATTAATTTTCTCATTAAGCTTGTTACTGTAAAGGTGGAGCAAAACTGTTCAAATAACCAGAAAGGTTAATACCCAGATGTATTCATTAGGAAATACTCTTAGCATTATTTCTGTAGCCTTTCCACTCAGATTGAGATTTTACATCAACCTCCTCAGCAAGAGCTCACTTTTCATGACTGCTGGTTTGATAACCTACTAATTTATCTTCTAGCTATTGAAGTCTGATAATGCCTAGGTCTCATGTTGCTTCTAATCCCTCATCCTGTCCTTCCTTTTCAAAATTCTCTAAAATCCTCCATACCTTTCCCCTAAACTCCACTCCTGTTCCCCAAATGTATGCTCATTCCTGCATCATTTTACTACCCAGTTTTCTACCATTACTTCTCTCACTCAAATTCTACTCTTGTACCACTCCCAACTGCCATCACCTCCTCACATCCTTTTATCTTTGTACTTCCTTTGCCATGAGAGCTTCTATCTTCTAAAATAGAATTCACAAATTTTTAGGGTGTCAGTCTTTCTACCACGTACCTTTAGATCTGCACCTATGCCCACACCCATGTAGTCCTTTGTCCCATGTTTCCCTTTGGAAGAATAGGTTAAGGGTTAAGTTTATCTGCTGTACAGCACACTGCCAAGCATTTAACAGAATGGAGAGAAGGCAGATAATCTTGGTGAGATGTTTACAGGGGATAACATACAGAAATGAGGAATATTTTATAACAGAAATATGTTATAAAATATAAGCCACTCTTCTATTTGGTCACAGATATAATCATTCTTCACAGGTAAACATAGTTTTATGCATTTTAGATAAGAGCACTGCTTCAAATGTAAGGATACATTCAGGCTCAATCCAACAGAGAACCAGAACTGAATCCATGTCTTGGGTGAAAGCACTGTGAGCTGAATTGCTATACTATTAGAGGAAAGACATTAATTATTACTAAGTTTTGTAAGGAATCCATTCATTTGTCCTTACTTAATAACAACAAAAAGAGCAAAATATGCACTAATCCAACCTTCATGATATCCAGGTGGAGACAATCATGATTGTGTTCACAAGTAGCATTAAGTATACAGGAAACATCATTTCCAAAGATGCCTACCAAATCTGAACACCTCATTAGCTAGCCCACAGCTGAGCAGCATTTAAATTGTTGACAGTCTATTTATTCCTCAACATCTCTTGGATACCCTCTTTAAATTCGATTAGAATAGCTTTCTTCTTTAAAAATACCAAACTGTCCTCCAGTTGAACCTGACTGCTTTCCTCAGAGTATCCCTCTTTCGTCATTTATCAGCCTTCTATCACACATCTGTTACCACTGCTTTGACACTCCAGTTTTATTTTGTCCTATCTCTATCCAACTAAAACAGTGAGCTCATGGCAAAGACTTTTCTCAACTCTGTTTTCTGCATTTTAGTTCTTCACAGCTGTTGTTATTTAGTAGTAACTCCCCTACAGGCCATATTCATTACCATCATTATTTTACAGGTAAAACACTGTTTCTCTCTTCTAGGATGCTGGTGTTCACAGTAAAGCATGGTATGCTGCTACCTGTGATAGGAAAATGGCAGAAGATGCTTTGTACCGATCAAACAAGGTAAGTCACTTTTACAAAATGTCTGGTTTATGAAAAAAAAAAACTTCAAATAAAAAAGATCAAAAGACAATCAGAAATATTCTAAGAACATCACTTGTATTCTGAATAAGTCAGAATACTGTGCCATGCAAGTACTGTCAAATATCAAACCTGAAATTATTGTGGTGAAACTATTTAACTGTGGTTTTCATCACAAGACAAAGTTGCATCAGTGTAACTCAGTAACGGGAGCCTTGTGGAGAAAACTATTACAGACCAGAGAGCTGAGGAAGAGCTGGTAGCTCACGAGCATCCCTTAAAGAAATGCAAAGCCCCGTGACTTTTAAGTGACCTCCACCACTGTCCAGTGGCTCGTGTGAAAACAGCTTCTATTTGGAAAAGCTGAGGTTGCCATGCATTTTGAAATATCAACACTGTGCATTCAGGTACTTAGAGAATTTGAGTTCTCTCAACTATTCTGTGTACAAAAGCCAGTGTCCCTGGAGGGAATAGTAGCATGTAGAGTTGCACCCTCAGCATCAGATACGTTCCCACACTTGCCTAACTCCACAAAGCAAGATGAAGTGGCAGAGCACAGGGTTTATCACCAAATAGAGGTTACTGCTTGTTAGTGAGCACAGGGCTACAGTGTCACTGGTGCAGGTGCTTGACTTTGAGAGTGCTTTTTACAGCTCTGGAGAAACAGTATCTCCACCTCTCCCTGCTTTCTTGCCTACTTACTGCCACTGATAGTAACTTTATTTCCTAATAATCTGTGGACCCCAAGAGATGGCTGCCACTGTGTATTTATTTCTTCTTTTTCTCTCTGGTTGAGAGAGAGAGAACAGGCAGCAGCAAAGGTGATTCTTAAATGACACCTTTGTATGCTACTGTTAGACAGCAGGAATACATGCTACTTCTCATCTGCTGCTGTACAGTTTTTCTAATAGGAGAAAAGAGTTTAATGCTGATATAAATTAAAATATTAAGTTAAAACCAAACTAAGTTATTTGAAAAAAATAAGCCAAATATTTACTTTTCTTTCTTCAGGACGGATCTTTTCTAATAAGAAAGAGTTCTGGACAGGACTCACAGCAACCATACACACTGGTTGTGTTTTACAACAGAAGAGTGTACAACATTCCTATACGATTTATTGAATCAACAAGACAATATGCACTGGGCAGAGAAAAAAGTGGTGAAGAGGTGAGATGATGAGGGGGTGTTTTTTCAAAGTTTTCAGTTATATACCTTCAATAAGAAAAGATTAAGATATATTGCAGTAAGAATCTTCATGTAACAAGATAAAAGTATACCCTTTATAATGACTGATCTGTCAAGCTAGAGAAACCAGTGTAATGTCAGCTCCTGCATACTATAATTAAAACCACAGATCAAGTTTAAAACATACTTCTAGAACAGTTTTGAAAAAAGTTAACAGGATCAGAGCTACAGCTGCTAGATAAATTTTCTGACTGTTTACAGTCCTCTGTTTACCTTCTACCTAAGGCTCTACTTAAGTTTCTTGGAAAATTTTAAAAGAACAGCCACACTCAAGAAAACCCCCAACACACAATCAAAAATGAGGCTGACATTACTTTTAATACTGTTTTCACGTAAAGAAAATGTTAAACTCTAGTTCTAGAATGAAAAAAACTGTTGGTTGGCTATTATACCACACAGGTAACTGTTCTGACAGGAAAACAGAAACGCAGAACCCAAATACCAATAAAAACAGTTCGTTATCACTGCACAGAGTAGGCTTTTCAGTAATGTGAAAGTAAGCTTACCTTAGCCTAATTATCTGCCTCCCAGGCAATGGTTTTGAGATTACAGAATAAATAATAGCCTGGAACTCACTTGGCCTTCAGCAAAGGGTCAAAAGTTATCTCAGGATAAATAGATAGTCCAAAATCTGTATTTGACCAAAGACCAAAAGGAAAAGCAACAGAACTAGCAGATTCTGGATATTAATTTACTGTGACAAACATTACAGCTGCATAACTAGAACAGTTCTCATTGATGGCTGTCTGTACCATGCTAATCCTGGAGATAGCCTTCCCTCTGAGGTGTCTGAATCACATCTACGCAGCTTCCAAACTGCCAGTCTGCAGCCTAGTACACACTGAGGTAAAATCAAAGCAGTGTCAGTTTACTATGGCCTGTAACAAACTCTGTGGTTCAGTCTGTACAGGTGACAATCACAAATGGAAAGGATGAGACAGCTAGTGGCCATAATATCTTCCATGGTCCAAATTTAATGTGTTTATTACTAGAATCAGAATTAAAGCAGGATCAGTGCTCTTACTTAAAGGTAGAGCATCTCACTTGGTAATAGTCATAGCTTAGCCCTATTCAGTGATGTGAGAAACAAAGATAAAAAAGCATTAAAGGAAGCCAGCACTAACTATTTTTTTTTCTTTATCCAGCGCTTTGACAGTGTTGCTGAAATAGTAGAGAATCATCAGCGCACCTCCCTGGTTCTAATTGACAGCCAAAACAACACAAAAGACTCAACAAAACTGAAACACATTGTAAGAGTTTCTTAATCAAACTGAACTGCTAAAATGAAGTCTTCTTTAATCATTTCTTTCAACATCTGAAGACATGGACAAGGTATTAAAAGAAGAAAATCCAAAATAATGCAAAACTTTAAGAGCACCTACTGAGTAGTAAGAGATGCAGTTCATAGAGTTCAACCCCACATCACTTTTATCAGAAAAGTGTTCACTTTTAACACAAGAAGCCAAAGCAGATGTACTCTCATCTGTGATCTCCATCTGGGACAACACAGGTATCCAAAGTCAAGCGAAGAACAACTGCATATCACAGCCTGGTCCTTTGACTGCTATTTAAAGACAAATAACCTGTAGGACATTTTCATTTTTAAAACAAGAATACTCACTGCTTTTTCAATTTGTTTACCACAGATCACTGCTTTCAGGAATTTCTTTGTAAAATGCACAGCCCCAGAAATTAGACCGAATCGACCTAATGTACCACCGTGCACAAGTTGAAAATAGGACTGTATTTTATGTGATCAGTAGCAGCAGAGGTGCCTGAATGTTACAGATTAATGGACATGTGTTGTCCTTTCCCTCAGCTTTACCCTGTTTCATTGATATTTTTGTTTATATTTTCAAATGTGCAAATAAAATAAAAAATATTGTAAAGTTGGTAGTGTATAGACATTGCTGGATCTCATCTCTTGGTATCTTTCCAGCAAGAAAGCATCAATTCACTATTGTTGATGTTTTAATGTATATATTTGTATGTGCTCCTTCACGAGTTGTTACGAAAACCATCCCTTTTTACAGCTTTTGCATGTATTATATATTTGGCTTAATGGCTCTCAAATCGTTTGTCTTCAGATTATCTACTGTTGGTGACTCAAGTGCACTGCTTCATTGCTAAAGTAATTAGCCACTCAATTCTTGCAGAATTATTGTTTATGGACACACACACAAAAACCCACTCGCTTTTTCAGGCCTGTTCTATCACCATGCTTCACTTATTGTATTATTGTGTGAACCAAGTAAATTTGCACAATGTTCAAGGGGTAAAAATTAATTTGATGAATGTATAAATTGCATCAATGAAAAACTTTTAGGAACAGTTGTTAATTAGTTCTAGAGATGTTTGATTTCACTGGACCTGAAAACTCATCCATCTTAAAGGTATTTTCCAAAACTGTCACTTTATACTCACGTTTTGTTCTTTTTGTTCCAGGTTAGGCAGTGTTTTCTAGGATTATCTGCAAGGCATTTAAGGCAAAATTGAGTCAAGACTTGTTAAAGTCCCAGCAAGTCACTTAGAGCCATATTGTAGCTGTATTCTGCAATTACCTTCTTGTGCCTTCGATCAGTTACTTCTACAAGTAATGCACCTGTCTTCTAGAAAGAACTGCATGCTAGTATGATGTTCAGCATCTCAGTGTCTTCCCTCTGCAACCCAGGCCATACTTAGCCCAGATGTAAAGCAAGTAATACATTGGCAAGTAACAATGTATACAGACTTTACACAAGCCTGGCTATGACAGTCTGTTCACGTTATTACATAAATGCTATGTTTATTACATCGCTCAGTTGATATTAGTGTTATAATAATATTATGCTTAATACCTGTGTAATGTTTAGAGCATTAAGATTGCCAAGTCAAGGTCTCAAAATTAACAAAAGTTAGTAGTTCCTGCAAGTTTAATTTATTCCTTCTATATGTGTACTCATATTATTTAGCTACTTTAAGCATCACCTTAAAAGCTTACTCGCAATGGAAAGTACTCTGTGAAAAAGCAGCTACTCAAAATTTGAGTCCTTGTCTATTCACTCATGTATTGCACAGTATTTAAACTTTGTACTAACAAAACTGTCTGCCTGCTAACCTTTCTATGTTGCTCCTCACAAATGTCTAACTTCTTCAAAGACTGCCTTCTGAGTTAAGTGTGTAGTACCACCATCATTCTAGAACTGCAGGGGGGAAAAAAGATACAAACAAGTGAAATTCAAGCGTAGGTACAGACTTCCATATGAGAGATTAAGTATCTATTTTTTAAGGTAATTAGCACTTCTGAGCACTTTAAAGCACTGCTGCTCCTGTCTATGGGCTCTAAGTGCTCGGCACTACATGTAACATTGTTGCTGACTTACAAATAACAAGCATGCTCTAGGCAAAGGTGCAGTTACATTCACTCTCAAACCCTTCTTTTCCTTTTATCCTGTTCTACGTGATTACAGGGGTACCAAATAGTTTTGACAACAAAATTAGGCAGGGAGTTGATAGGCAATACCACCTTCCACAAAATAATCCGTTCAGCCTGAGAACATCCTAGGCACAAAATAAGGCTCTACAGGGGAGAAAAAAAACCAAACCACCAAATGCACAAACCCACCAGTATGGGATCACCTATTTTACTCTACTCAGTGTTTTATACAGGAAGAAAGGGACGTTTCCTAGATTCTGGGCATAAAATAAATTGGCCCTCAAGATGAAGTATGGTATATTAGAAATCCCAGTGCTGTGGATCGAGCAGCCATTACAGAATGAATTAGATGGATGTCCATGGATAAAGTGATACAACAGTGAACTAAGATTGTATAAAGCAACCTTATTTCAACATTTCCTAGTTTTACAGTGTTCTTTTTCACAGTACCACTTAAGGTTACTCAATTCATAGGAAAACAAGCCACTGAGAAAAAAATTCCAGTGACAATTGTCACTCTCATGATTCGTAAATATAGAGAAATCTTCCTATTCTACAGCAGAACTTCAATCTTGATGCTAAGTAATTGTTAACAAAAACTGATCATCCTTGCTGAAGTGGCACCAAGTAGGTTTAGCAAAAAAATTCACAGATATTTTTGCCAAAGAAGGCAAAGGCAATATCCAAAATTCACAGGTTCAGTTTCAGGGTTTATAGGAGAGTAAAATGAGGCAGACAAGAGCTCGATCCTTCTACTCAAAAAAGCTTAACATGTTTTTGTCCTTTCCTAATCCCGTTTCTTTCCAACATACTTCCTCACCACTACACTTTATCTTCAAAGTTCTTAGCCAAATTATCGTCAGAGTTCAAACCCAGCACAAAATGATCCAATTTTGATACAAAACACATACCAACTGTATGCAATACCAACACACACCAACTTGTAATTCACCCAAACTGTGCTGCCTTGACTGCTTCAGTTGACTCCCATACATAACTCACCAGCTACAAGTGAGTGGGCATCTTCCTACCAACAGACACATAAAGAAAGAAAAACGTATCTAGCCACTGAAGTAATTTTTTTTTTAAATCATTTTAACACTTTTTAAAACAGAAGCTGAATTCAGGTTAGTGGACATGCCTGTGACATCCATGAAAGACTTCAAACTGTTTCATTGGTACCAAGGCAATCTTCATTTTCACCTTATGGAAATAGTCACAGAGAACTACCTGGGCTTGTGTACAATCTAAAATCCCCAAGATTTAAATACCCCAGTCCTCTCCAAGCCCAGTATTCAATTTTGGAAGTTTTTCCATCAATACTTCAGGAAGCTGATTTGCACGCCTAAGATGTAATCCTCCCCTACTTGGGCAAAAGGTCTGGATGTTCTAGCCTCCAGCCTTATTAACAATCTGAAGGACAAAACCTCTACACATAATTACTGTGGATAATAAGAACCTCCATCTGTGTACTCTCAGTCACTATGGATATGGACTTTGGTTTACATACCCTCACATAAACATTAAAAAACGTGAAGCATATTCTCTCTTCATCATTATCCCAAAAATTCTAAGTAGGAAGCCAGGAGACACCTAAGAACATTACCCTACTGGGTGGTAAAGTGAGGGAGATGTGATACAAGCCTTGGTTTTGCCAAACCCCTGGTACCCTAAAAGGCAGTGTATCTGAATAACCAATAGCAGAAAACAAATTACATCCACCTGGGACAAAACTATAATGCAGTTAAAGGCCTGAAATTGTGCTTTGCACTTCCCGATACTGGGTTTGTGGCAGACATAGCAAGACAGGAATATTTTCTATAAATGCTCAGGGTCATCTTCTGTAAACACAAGTTGTAGCAAATTTAATAGAGACAAAGTCAATACAGATTAGGAATGTTCACCATTCTTTAACACCATATACATTATGAATATATATACCGTATATTTTCAATCGCCTTTATTCTGACTCACCGTATTAACACAAACGTAACATTTTATTAATTTATATGAAAAATACTTCACTAAGAAAGTAGACAAACTGCACAGAAATAGTACAAGTGTCATGTGCATAGCAATATAGCTTAAAGCATTCACATATGGCTTTGTTTAAATGAAACTGTTGGGGGAATGGCCCTATACAGACCCATGGTTACACAGTCGACATAATGTAAACTGCTTCACATCTTTGAGGCACTTGCTAACAATAGTGTTCAATCCCTGAAAAACAAAATCAAGAGCTAATAAGTGAAAATAACAGAAATCCCAGGATAACAACTGCGTGTATTTGAAAAGATTTTAAAAATTGGTTTTAGTAGTGCATGCACAGAACTGAAAAATGGGGGATGGGGTGTAATTTCTGTGCAAGAATTATACCAAGTAACTGAAAAGTATAAAAATATTTACATGTTTAGAGATTTTTAAATATGTACAGAACAAAAGCCCTGAAGATTCATTCTATAGAATAAAAATATAGCACATAATATAGTAGTAATAAAAAATAATATATCTTTTTATGGAATTGTATTTGCAGTTAGTTACAAGTTATTTAAACCACAAAGCTCCTTGATCTTTCTCAAAGCTGATGCCAATAGGGAATATGCTCTTTCTTTTAAAACACAAGCACTTTTCATGATTTTTGAACTTCAGTTACAATACTGACATAAAAAACAAAATCACTTGTGTATCCTAATTCAATTGAATATTTTTTGAAAAACTTTAATGCATGGTATTTAAGTTTTATTTTCTTCACCAGTCATCCTTCCATTAAAGAATTCCAATCTCGAGTGGCCTCCATCAGATGTCTCTGTCCATGTCCTACCCAATTATCCTGATTGTCAAATATTCTACCACAAAACCAGCAGCTAAACTTAGCTTTCAAGGTATTATTAGAGGTAGTTTTCACAATCTGGTAATTGTTTTTGCTAGTCTTTTTCAGTGTCAATTTTAAGACAAATCTTTCTTTTACAGGGCTAATAGGTTTTATGGTCCTGTATCTTTTTTGAGAAAAATCATCAGTAGTTCCATCCAAAGGATTGCAGAAGGCTGGCTGCAGAAGCGCTTCAATAGTTCTTTTTGACAATGAAACCTTAAGAACGTGTCCCTTAAATTTAGCAATAGTTTTCATTACATTTACAACTTCTGGAACATCTACATCAGGATGGTTAAGCACAACAACCGGTTGGTTTCTCCGAGGGCATTTTACGAGCTGATTAGAATTAAAAGGAAGTAATTTCAAAGTCCTCACAGTTTTTTTTGATGCCCTTTGTTTGTAAGGGCTACCTGATTCACTAACAACTGCAGCTTGATTCTTTTCCTTACACTTTCTGTGCAACATTGCTTTCTTTCTTGGAGGTTCTGGGCAACTAGCCTTCCTTTTACGTTTGAAATTCTTATTTCTTTGCACACCTCGAGTTTCTGAACTTTTAGACCGCGTTTGTTTTAAGCGAGGTTTTACTTTTGCAGTTCTGGTTTGGGTGCTCCATGTTGACTTCTGACAACCAAAGTTATTCCTGTTGTTAGCAGTTATTACTTGTGTACTCTCAACAGAACCTTTTTGCAATCGTGTCCTTGCAGATTTAGTAGAATAAACAGGTCCTACAGGAGGAACACAACATGCTGGATTAGAGCTTGCCGAAGAGGCATTTGCTGGCATTAACCCACCTGGTAAGATTAAGGCATTATTAAAACTAAGATTAGTTTGTTTCTGTGCTAGTGCAGGAGTAAGGAACTGCAAGTTATCTGCCTGTAGTGAGGGCACTGAGTTGCTCACTGACTGAGTGGTATCAGCCAGTGTATGTGAAGTAGGAGGTTTCATTTTCGGCAAAAGCTGTTGTTGCATGGCTCTAGTTCTCTTTGGTTGACAATTTTGATAATGAGCATTATCCTGAAAAAAAACTGGTTTATGAACTACAGGCTTGTTTGGTGTCGTACAATTCAGAAAAGCTCCCTGCTGTCCATCAGGCAAAAGTGCATAAACATCTTGTTCCTGTTTAATTTCCTGTTGGTTTACTGACTCCAAAGAACCAAAGACAGCGTCCCGATGCTCTGATAACACTTTCACAGAAGAAATTCCTTTCACAGATGACTCCAATGCATTTGTAGTTACAGGAGGTCCTCTGAATGGCATGCTAGTTATCAAATCATGTGCTGTTCTACTTGCTTCCCTATTACAGGAACTTCTTACATTTCCAAAACTGTCATTTTCCCCCTTCACTTTTGAAGTTGATATGGTTATTTTACCAACTTCTCTGGATGCAATTCCCCCTAAAACCTGAGAACTATCATTAGCGGCACTTGCAACTGTTCCAACTGCCCTGCTAAAAGTCAAAATCATTCCAGGTCCCTTATTTGAAACAAAAGATGCAGGTACACCTTTAGTCACGTGCCCATCTGATGAACTGGTTGATGGAAGAGATTTTCCTGAAGCCACCTGTTGTCCAGGCTGGTTAGCAAGGTGCAAAGGAACAAAAAATCCCGATGGAAGAGACTTAAAGAAAAGGGTTTTCTTCTGTTCCTGAAGAACAGGTAAAACTGGTGAAAAGCTGCTGGGATTTTGAGCTGCAGACAGTACTTTCTCTTTTACTAACTGCTGTGTTAAGACTGAATCTGTACAAGTTTTTAGCAATGTACCAACACCCGGAGTTATGGATAATTTGTCCACATCCTGTGAATCAAATGATGGTTTGGATGTCTGTCTTTCTCTCCCACAATGTGTGCCTTCATTTGTGCTACATCTTGTGTTCCACTCTCTCTTATATAAATTAAAGTCTACATTAGAAGGAGGCCTCTGAAAACCACATGTAGTTGCAGAGCTTTTTAAATGCATGAAGGCTGTATTCCTGGCCTCATGACCAGAAAGCAGCTTGTCAGGATGAAGTTTTACAGAGTTATTTGTCTTGCTGTGGAACTCTTGCTGAGAAGTTGTTTTCACTTTTAACACATCTTGCAGTATCTGTTTTATTTCAGGCGATAAATAATTAGCTGCTTGTTCACTTTGCAATGAGAAAACAGATGTGATTTTAGGCATTAAGAAAGAGTTAACACAATCAGAGGCATTTTCTTGGAATTTCTCAGCTACGTTCTGAAAGCCTTGACCTATGGTAGTGTCCAAATACTGCTGGCCATGATGCTGGTCCTCCGTAAAACACTCACTGTCAACACTGCATTTAGACTGGCTTTTAAAAGACACAGAGTTATTTTTAGTGTTTATGTGTTTGTAAGTTTTATCAATATTTGATCGAGCTGACAAAACTTTCTCTGCTTTTAAGCCTCTCATCGACTCTGAATATGAAGGTGCAGATTCACTTCCACTGTTTTGAAAAGAAACGGTTTTGCTAGATACAAATTCTTTGTGTCTGTCATCTGTTGGCATCCGAATGCTACATGGATTATCCAAAGAGTCCACTTTGGAATAGTTGTGAAAAGACAACAACCCTTCCTTAGAAGAATCCACTGAAGTTGAATAATAGAGATTATTAGTTCCATTACTATTATTCAGGCCACCATTTTGTATTTTCAGTTCAGGAAAAAAGGGCATTTTTATAGGGTCACAATGAAGTGTATTTGTCATAGCGGGTGGTAATACCTGAGGATGACTTGAAGGGCTAAAGTTTCCCCATGAGACACTGTTTGGAGTTCCAGCTTTTGTTACTTTGTCACGTGGAGGTACAGTTGAGCCCAACTTCATTGGCAAATAATTTGAACTTTTTCCTACAGCTATATTAGAAGGTGCTACAGTTTCAGAAACACTCCTACTATATAGTATGGAGTTATTTTGTTTTTCCACTTTCATTTTTCCTGAATGATGTGCAGGACAAGAAAACAGAGGGGAGGTTAACGGGTGAACAGAATTGTTCTTTAAGGTTGACTGATCAGTTACATGTGCTATAGCACCTGAAGACAAACCACAGGGATCAGAAGTCTGTAGCAAAGGAGTTGAAGAACCATCATTAACAGGATCAGCTTTCTGACCCAACAAATACTCATTCTGCTTATTTGTAGGTAGTAATTTTATAACAATATGTTGTTTTCCATCTACCATTTTAAAGCCCATAAATTTAGCGCTGTAATTTGCCGGAACAGATATTTTATTGTTTTTAACCATCAACACTGTTGGCCCATGAACAGCATTTTTCAATAATCCCAGTCCATAACTTGTTCCATCATCTGCCTTATTGTATTGTGCAGTAGTAGCAGAGAACATTCCATCCACAAAATTACGCTTTTCTGGGTACTTAACTTCATCTTTTTCTTCATTTGTTTCCATGTCTCTCATACACTGGTTCAGCTCCTCAGCATTTGTCTGAATTTTATTCACACTTCTTAGCACTTGTGCATTTTCTTCTCCAGTATTGTCACTTCCACTGCTTATTTCTTTCCGTCTCCAGAGTGCTTTTTTGGATGCTCCTATTTTATACCTTTTCAACACAAGCTTTAGTCCTGCTGGAGTCTTCACTATTCTTTTTTCATATTTATCCTTTTCCAGTTTTTCTTTAGCAATAAAGTGATCTCTGTGTAAAGCTATGATGTGTTTTAGAAGATAATCTTTCCGTGATGTGCTGTAACTGCAATAATGACAACCAAAAGAAAACATACTGGTATGAACAAGAAGATGATTTTGGAGCTCCTCTTCTGTAAAGTTTTCTTGATGGCATTTTCCACATTTATAGGGAATCTCTTTATGTCTGTGAATGTGCTGAACAAACGTGCCCACATCATGGGTAGAAAATGCACATTTTTCACATTGAAAGTGACCATTTACGCAATGCTTTGATATGAAGTGTTTTGTCAAATCCAACAAAGTGTATATCTGTTCATCATTACAGAGCTCACATTTTACCAAAGTGCTACGATGGATGCGTCGGTGCTGTTTAAAGGACTGAAAGTCATTCGCTGAGAAGCTGCACATCTCACAAGGATACAAAGGCAACTCGCCATAGTGCAACAGCTGAAAATGTTTCTGCAGATCATTTGGGCTGTATCTAATGTTATCCTTGCACTTTGTACAAGTGAAATTCAGTATCTTGGCTGCAGTTTTCAACTCTTTTTCAAATTGCACTTCTGGTTTATTTTGCAAGTGGCTTCCCTCTGAACAATCAGGATTGCTTCCGTTTATTTTGTCTAGACTTAAGGACTTCCTTGCAGTTTGCTGCTTACACTGAAAGAGTTTTCTAAACCTATCAACTTCATGTTTCATTAATACTTCATTTGGAATGTTCACCTTGGGTAATTCAATTTTCACATTTTTTAGTCCGTAAGCAAGATTGACATCTAAAATTGCTGGTTGAATCCTCATACTTAAAGGATCATTCACTGATTCTTTTTCCAAAGTAGTATCTGTAGAACAATTCCTCATAGTACTGTGATTTAAGAAACTAATTTGCTTTTTATCACAAAAAATCTGTTCCTTTTCAGATGACATGATTTTAGGCTTTAATTTTCTTTATGTGAATTCTTGAGATTAGTTTTACTTTCTGCAGCAAATGAGACTACTGTGCTGAGTCCAAGCTCTACAACTTCCCCATTTCATTCTCCTGAAATTAAAAAAAAACAAAGAAAATATTACTTTTAAAACTAATGCAATTAGAACACTCATTACAATTCATTAATGAATACATGCCAATCTCAGAAGTTGTTGATTTTTATAACAGCATTTGAGGGAAGGGGGAAGGGAAAGGATGAGGCAAAAAAAATAAGCAATAACCTTTGTTTGCTTGCTTGTATTGGGGTTGTTTGTTGGTTTGTTGTTTGTTTGTTTTCAAAAAACATATATATAAAACTGGAAAAATAAGTCTTAAAGAACAACATCTACTGAAAGATGAAAACATTGAAATTCCATGCCATCAAATTTTGGGGGTTTCCCACCCTGTAAGCATAAGAAATCCCAAGAGCTACTTTTTAAAAATGAAGATTGTATTTATTACTCATTTGGGATTTCAAGCAAACATAAACACTCCTCTGTGACATGGATCAATAACTGAACATAGCTGAAGTGCTAAAAACAAGTCAAATTCAGCAGGATTTGATATTTTCATTACTCAAGTCTGCTACTCTATTAGCAACTAACTATTGTGTTTAAAAAGCAAAGACAAAGAAAAATCACGATCTGACAAAAGATCTACCCACTAATGGAGACATGACCTTTACCAACACCAAAAAAGCCACCACACTGATCTACAATGAATTTTTCATATGCCTACCTTTAGTACCACACAAGGCTGAAGTAGTCAATACATAAAAGTTATCTCAGGTTTCTCACCATACTTTTAATCTTTTCAGAACAAGTGCATGACTGACAACAGTACTCCTCTATGGATTAAAAGGCTCAAAGAGGTATGGTCAGCATCACTGCCTCACTACAGACTTCATGTCAGTGCTTCCACAACAGGCTGCACCAACCATTTACAGCAGCTCAGGTCTGTGCTCGAACAACGCTCCCACATGTCGACACAGAATCAGCAGAAATGAAACAGCATCAAAAATAACTTAAATTTTGAAAAGCAACAGTGGAAAGGAAGAACTGTTTCTTCACTAGTACAACACTTCTTAGTAAAAACTTTTCCACAGTAGAAGTCACAGAGTCCCTTTCTTCTTTCCTAACAAAATTGTTAGCTGAAATCTGAGCAGTGGTTCTCTCTCCACTACTCCAGTGCCCACCCGGAAGCAACACAGACTTGGAACTCATTAGATCATCTTATTTATTCATATTCAAACTGAAAAATAATCACAGCCTCTCCCCTCCTTGTGATGAAGAGCTTCTAGACTGTTTCTAGAGCTCCCAGCCATCATGAGCAATAATCCTAACGTTTTCCAAATATTTTCCCATAGTCCTATGAGAAGCAAGTATGCAGCATTAGACATGCAAATACCTGACAAAGAAAATGGAGACTGAAAAATTTACAAGTCCATGTTCATGTATTATGTAGCAAGAAAAGCAAAGCACTTCTTTTTTTAAGAGTATGCTTTATTGCATTCTTTGGGAGAAGATATTAGCATTTGTGCACAATTCCTGAATAAGCAAAACAGGCTTTGACATTTTACACAGAACCCAATATCAAATAAATTCACTTAACTGTGCTCTCCAGCTATGAGACCTGCAAGATTTCAACTATAAACTTGACATTCAAAAAACTGACAAGCCACAGAGATCTACAATCCCTCCTTGGGAATCTTTCCAAATGAATACACTCTGAGTACAGGATTTTTATTTTTCTTTTAACTCAGTGACACACTTCCTGTCTTCCACACCAGAAATTAATACATAGGATACTACCCTACTTTGAGCCTTCAGAAGATGCAACTCATGTGCACTTACACTCCATTTCCACCAAAACATGTGTTATAATGTGTCCCCTTGTCAATAGTAAATCTGTTATTTGAACAGGAGCAAGCTGAACTCCCACATAAAGAAAAGGTAACTAAAAATAACTTAGATTTGTTTGCTTGAAGAACTTTTTTAATACAGATGCAACACAAAGATTACAGGTTGCATGATGCAATACATCATCCTGTCAGTAGCTGCCCATCATTCAGATTAAAATGTTATACTGTCAAAAACTGACACCTGAAGTATATTTACAATTAACATTATAAAAATCAGAAGTGGATAAAATACTGCAGAGAACAAGGCACAGGCTTTTAACATGGGGCCAATGTGGTCCTTAACTGAGTAAAATTTCACTAACTGCATAAAACATTTACGTTTCGCAAAGAGTCCCAGCTGGGCATATACAAACTTGATCTGAGATCTCCTTTTACTAATTATCCTTATAAATTACAACCTAACTTTGTTATTAGTGGATTGTATGCAACTATGGACAAGCACCTGCCCCATGACAAATAAAAATATTTACCAGAAACAACCAACTGTTAAAAAAAATCCCAGCGATCTTTAAATGTACATTATCAAGGAAGTCTGACTTACACGTGAGGAAAAGACTTGACTTCAATTCTTCAACAGCTGGGTTTTTTCCACAAACATAGAAGAGGTAAATATGCAAGACTCAGAAAAGGCCACAGTCAGGAGAAATACTAAAAAAAGTTCTGAAAACAAAAAAGGAAAGCTATTTTAAAATGCATAACTGAAAGCTGAAAAGCACAAATCCCTCACGATTTTACATTATGTGCATTTTTGATACATTGAAGACAAAAATAAGTAGTATGTTCTCTCTCAAGGAGCACCATCAAATACAGTATCAATATTGTATATATACAATATAACAAAGCCTATCTTAACCTTAGTTTTGCCACTACATCTCAGGCATTTGTAATTGATAAGCATAAACATATGGTAACTTAAAAGCAGGACAGAAAGAATTAACTGGTGCCTCTGTCTATCAAATTTTAACTTGAACTCAAAAGGCATTTATCTTTTCTTCAGCAAAAATATTAATGAATTCTATAGCAAAGACCTAATTAGAAGTTCCTATAAAGTTTTGCAAATCCCTAGAAGGAGGCAGAATATTACGTTCACAGTATCTGAAATAAGTAAGTAGATTAAAAAACAGATATAACTAACACAAACATTGAAAATACATAAGCACGTGCCACAGTTAATTCTCACTAAAAAAAACAAACCAAACCACTAAGCACAAGCATAAGTAACCACCTGAGGCTCTAAGCCTCAATTTTCTTTCTCCAAAAATGCTCAATCTGTCTGTATTTTGTTTGAAGAAAGTGCACACAGAGAAGTTTGAGCTATATACTTTGATCCAGTGAGAAACAACAGACAGGAGTTAGACACTGCTAAATTAGGTAACTTTTACAGTTTTTCCATTTCGAACAAAATTCAAAATACATATCGAGGCAGGCAGTATTTTCCACATTTCTGTAAAAACTTACACTTATTTAAATTTTACTTCGGGAAAAAAAAAAACCTGTATTGCAGCATATCCCATGCCTAGTCCCATCCCATGTGCCTGCAAATTTAGAGTGGTGCCTTCATCTCTACCAAGATCTGGACGCATGCAGGGACTAAACAGAACTAGATTTTAAGAAAGCCATAGAGCTGGAGTGGTCAGATACGACCTGACAGCACAACGCTGCACTTGCAAAAAAAAAAAAAAAAAAAAAAAATGATAACAAATCACCAGATCACTCTCACAGCTCACAGAGAGACAGAGAGACACACGGCGAACTTGGCATTCACGAACAGAGCAGGGACACTCGGCCAGCCCTGCCCACCTACGGGCACCTGGCCGCGCGACCGCCGCCGAGGGGCTGCCGGGGGAGCGCGGCCGTCGGGGCGAGAATCGGGGAGCCCCGGGAGCGCAGGAGCGGAGTCCCGCGTGCACCGCTCAGGGTGCGACTGCGGTCGCGGCGCCGGCGCTGCCCGACAGCAAGTGGGGGCGACGGGGCCTTCCTCCGCTCGCCGCTCCGCCTCGGAGCCCCCGCGGCCCTCGGGCGGCGCCGATTAGTCGCGCAGGCCCGCTGCGCGGAGACCCCGGCGGAGGAACACAGTGGCCAGGGGACCGCGAGCCCGCATGAGCGCCCCCAGTTCGCCCGCCCGTCGACCCGCCAACCGTCCGGTCCGGGGCGGGGCGGGCGAGCACTATTAGTGGGTTGCCCCGCGTCCGCCTCCGCCGCCGGCTGGCTGCTCCCTCGCTCGCCCCGCTCCGACGGCGCCAGCGCCCGGCCGGCCGCTCCGCACGGCTCGGGACCCGCTCCGCTCCCGCCCGGTGCCTCCCGCGCAGTTAACCGGGGCCGCGCGCCCGGGCGGCGCTGCTGGAGGCATTTCAAACAGTTCATCCGGCATGCGGTCGAGCCCAGACGGGGCGGCGCGGCGGAAGGGAATACGCGTTCCACCTGGGGGCAGACGGACTTGCTGCGGCCGCCGAGGGCCAAGGCGGGCGGGGCGGCACCGCCCCCGCGGGACCAGCACCCAGTGACCCCGCTGCCTTCCTCCTCCTCTCCTTTCTCTTCCTCTTCCTGTTCCCCCCTTCCTCCTCCTCCTCCACCTCGGGCGTTGGGCACATGGCACGGCCAAGGGCACCGCCCATCGTTCCCTTGAGTGTTTCAGCGCTTCCCTGTGCCCAAGGGTGTGTTTGGGCCCATGGCGCTGGGCAGGGAGAGCTGATGCTCCTCACAGAGGAAAGAACTGGCCCAGGCTCTTCGTGCCCCACTCTAGACATGAGTTTGCTGACCTGCATAGACACAACAGTAGGCAGGATATATAGGGGATGTCTGTAGGAGATGTCAGCACTCAAAGCATCCAGGACATTATATATGTGCACGGGATCAGTTGATGTGTTTTAATACGCTCAAGATAATAAAAAATCAAAGCTGAAAATCAGCACGGAGCGCTTGTCTTGCTGGAGCCACAGTATCATTGCTGCTTAGAGTTTGGATAAACAGCACTTGTTATTAGCAGCATGCACTTCACGTTTGTGCTGAGTTCTAATGCACGTGATCACCCATGGTCACCAAGGAGGATGAAGGAAAGGGAGAGGTAATAAAATTCAGATGCACCATGACCACAAAAGGGCGAATGCCTGTGGCAGAAATAGACTGTAAAGATGAATTATGATTGAAGAGGTCATTGAAAAGGAAATCCTCTCTCCACTTGTGAAACCATGTTCAAAAATCAAAAGCAAAGGGGAAAAAGGTTTCCCAGAGGAAAAGGCCTAAACCATCTCATGAACAATTTAGCTGAGCAATGTAGCTAAACTTTCCTTGTGGCATCTAGTTGCAACAAAGTTTAATAAGTGCACTTTTTACTCATGATTAAATACGAGAACAAGAAGTGTTGCTGTCTTTGTTCGTGCATAGAATAAGGGTAAATTAAACATAAATATATTTTTGATTCCTTGTTCCAACTGACATCACTTATCTCCCTTGTGTCCTAGACTGTAACAGAAAATTAATAGAAGCCATTTTTGCATGGGGTTTTTGGCCCTAAAAAATGTCTTCAAGAAAAGAATTATATCACTGATGGTTCTACTACACCCAAATGAAACAATCCATGCCAAAAGCAAGCAGGGAAATGTATTCTGGTTTCTAATTCATTACACATTTCTAAGTAGTCAGAAGCGGAGATTGTACACACCTACCGTAGTGTTTGGAGGATTTGAAAACTTAACTACAGCTGAAGAAAGAAAAAAGAAATGTCATAGTTCTGGTAGCAGCCCTAAAGTCAGAAAAAGAATTATTTGTGAAAATCATCAGTCTAATGAGCAGCTACAGTATCGAATTTGTGTTAGAATGCTAGTATTCCTAATCTGAAATTAAAATATACATCATGCTGTCAACTACTAATGCCAACGAATTCACATATAAGATGGAAACAAACATTTTCTCTTTATTTTATCACTTTATTATTCAAATTTAGAACATGTATGGATATCAAGCACACGACAAAAAAAGAAAACCTGTGAGATAACACCAGCAGGAGAGAAGAAAAAAGAAAGGTTATTTAATTTTATCTAATTTATCACATACATTGAGATTCTTTATAGCACAAGAGGGACCAAAAATTACACCAAAACACACAATCTAACAGTAAATTTCTGTTGGGATTAAGATCTGTATAGGAATATATGGGGGAAAATGGTGGCAATACAGTGAAAAACTACAACAATGGGCAACCCCACCAAAAAGATTGACTTTCTATAGTAGTTTCTCCCAAAATTCATGAAAGAGCTCCTTAGTCATGAGAGTCAGCATCCACAAAAATGCTCCCCAAAATTTCTCAGTAACAGCAATAGTCTACAGCCTTCCCATTTGCAGGAATGCTAGGAACCCCTTACAAACTATGAAATGAGAGGCTGCCTTATCGCTGAAGAAAGAACCAAGGAAAGCAACCACGGCCTTTTTAAAAAGCTCAGAGTAGAAACTAAATGAAAGCCCATCTAGGCAATCCAAAGAAGATCAAAGTCTTCTCAAGTGGTACAGAAATAATCCTGATGCTGGCAGTTGAAGCTCATGTGACATCAGGCATGAATTGTGACAGAGCATACGAATGCAAACTTACATATTTCTAAGCACTTTAATTTTATCCCTAGAGTATGATTTGTTTAAGGCGTCATCACACACTTTTATTTCAGGGGTCTTTCCAGGACCAATGAATGCTGCAGGGTGACTAAAATAACTCTCTATTATTTTTCCTGAAGACAGGGATCAGACATGATACATCTGGAAATCCAGATGCACAGTATATACACATCACTATTGTCCTAGTTAGGACAGCTGAGATCAGTTCATCATGGTGGGTGTAACCCAAAACTGTATTCTATAGCCTTCCATGTCATTTCCCAGAAACTAGACTATTGTTGTCAATAGACTATTCGCACCCTCTGCCCATAGAGCCTGACTCCTCAGGCTATAAACTAGGTGTTAAGAGGCCTGTGAGATAGAAGGATGTTTCTGTCCTCACACCCTTTGTGAACTCCCCGCCCTGAGGAGAGTACCAAGCATTCCTGCCTGAACTGGAGGATATATAATCTTGGAGTTTTGGAACATTTTTCAACCCACTCGTGGGATCCAGAGGACGGCTGCATCTCATCGCTCTCAACCAGACTTAGACCACCACTGGACTGCGATCACCAGTTCTGGCCAGACTGCAGCAGCTCTCCCACCAGCAGGTTCTTCCCCTCTCCCTTTACTTTGGACTCAAACAGGGCCCAAGGAACACCATTTTGTTCAGGCCCCAGGGTACTGGGTCATACATTTGGGTTTTTGTGGGTTGAGACCAATTGTTTGTTTGTATTATTGTACTTACTGTATTATTTTAATAAATTGTTATTCTGACTTATAATCTCTCCTTTGAGTTGGGTTCATTCCCCCTGCTGGTTAACTTTTAAACCAGGACAACTATTAAATTCCCAAATCTTACAAATTAAGGACTGAATCTATATAATATTCTAGTACTTCATTCTTTTTCAGAAGATAAATTGATTTTGGTCCACTTTACTATGTGACATCCTGTGAAAATGATGTTCAATCACAAGACAATCTATGTTCTGTAAAACACGATATCCCACAACAGTTCTCAAAAAAAAATTGCTGTGACATGTGCAGTCAGTTTTGGGTTTGGTGTTGGTTTGGGGTTTTTTTTTTGCTGAGCATTGGCTATTGTCTCCAGAAGCATATGTAAGCTGTGTAGTATTTTGGAATATGCACACTGTCCCAGTGTGCATAACATCACATTATTCTGTGCATCTGAAATAGCAAACAATGGCAGGGCTTCCCACTACATATGTCATTAGTAATAGTCTGTTATAAGTTGATAGGGCAATTAAGTGCAAATAAGTAGTCTTTATAGTGTGATTTTTTATTATTGTTTCTATTAATTCTGTATTTCTAATGTTTTAAAATTGAAAACTTAATGCTTTACATAGGTGTTCACAAACAATAGGAGTACTACATCCCTGGTTTCATTTAGATATCCAGCTTATTTATGGATAGCGGGATGGATTGGGACAATTTATTTTATAATCTGCTAGACTATCAGGAATTATTTATATCAGATATTTATCTACACCAAATAATTGGGACTGATGGAAGTATTTCCTCAGAAACACTTGGGGGAAAAAAATATTCCATTTTCAAAAGTGTGTGCTAAGGTAAATACATGGATGATAAATGATTCTATGGACTCTTCATTTTCTAAAGAAAACTACATCTTTTTATTGTGAAGTTGCTCAAGCATTTGCCTGAAATCACTGAATTCAGTCACACATAGGAGAGAGCTTCTTTCTGAGTTAGAAATAATAATAAAGTGTTGCTGCTGGTGTGTTCCATTTTTGAATTACAAGAAAGTGGAACTACCTGGCTAAAAGTGAAAACATTGTTTCAGTTAGATTTTCACATCTGTGATTATTCACATTATTGTTACATGTAATAGCAAAATCTCAAAAAGTTTTTTGTTCTATGGCAACTTTTAGTCTTCGTTCTCTTGCATTTTTTGCTCAATCTAACATGAATTTAAATTAATAAAGTTTACAAAATACCATATAATAAATTAATATATTCATGTATTCTGTGCTTTCTTTAGTGTTTTATCACTTTGCTCTGTAAGGACATAAAAGTTATTAGTAAATAGTTCTTTTGTTCAGCTCATAAATCCTGTAAAAAAATTGGTGTCCCATATGCTGCCTTCTATTCTTTCACTTAAAGTGAAAGAAAGTTACATCTCAGACATAATCATGCAGTCCTTTCATTCTTTATTGCACTACAACTCCTGGCTGTGG